TGGTCTGGGGCTCACTAGTTGGGATGCTGCCCCTGCGACCTGGACAAGCGGAGGAAGAGGAAGACGACGACAACGACGCATGCCAGAGCTGCAAAGTCAAGGTTACGGCATTCCAGAGCTGCAAAGTTAAGATTACGCCAGCTGGAGGATTCAGACGTACAAATCAACCTTTTGCTCACTTAGTGTTCAACGCAGACATAAATAAACTGCCAAGGTCTCCCGCAAAAGCCTCATCTCTCTACTAAAAGTCAGACTGCTGGATTCCTCATTCTGAATTATTGAATCCACATGAATCCTACAAGACTTAACAACTTATAAGTTAAATAATCATATGTATGACTCAACAAGATGTTTAAACCAAATACTTGAATAACCTGTGCTTAAATCAATGAATTTGAAATGAATGTTGCTCTTACAATGATCCATTACAAATCTTATGGCCAGTATGCGTTTGATTTAATAAGTTAATCATTATCTACACTCATACACATCTTCATAAGATACAAATTAAGGTTAAGGTTCACCTCACAGAACGTTTAAAGATTCTTTACTCACAGAATTAAGGATCTTGTATCTGAAGGAAGGCGTGGCTTTCTGAGGAATGTTTTGGTGAAGCCTTCCAGACATGGCACATTCTGATTTGCCAGAATGGCCGGAAATCATGGGAAAGTTGTTTAATAAAACAGGAATTACTTCTCGAGTAATGCAGTTTCGAGCAGAGTTTCGAACCGGCCAATTCGGAACAAGCATCGTTGAGACATCTCTTTTGGCATACAATCAAAACCTGTTTGCACGCTGCAAGCTGATACATTCAGACGGCTCCCTAAGAGCCACATCCACTTTGGACACAAACAAGCATTCCAGCTACTGTTGTGACCTGGAAACATCTCAAGACTGGACGGGTCGTATCGAAGTTAATCTTCTTGCTTCAGGTGCCGTGAGGTCCACCTGACTTCTGACAGTCCGGATCTGCTGGGGGTCTCCGCCAGGGTTTGTAGACACAACAGATTGCGTCTGATGCTGTTTTGTGTGACAGTGTGAGCATCCTGTCACAGTGTCCCGATTGATGATGCGCCCTGGCTACTTGGCCAAGGGAATGTCCCTTTGGCTGACTGGTTAGCGCATATGACTCTCACCTGGGAGTCTAGGGATCGAATCCCGTCCGGGCCCTCGTTTCTCCACCTCGCCACATTTATTAATAATCAACTCTCTAGTTTATAGCAGACAACAAATTCTTTTACACCCAGATTTCACAATTTCAGATACAAAAATTCTGATAAACATCTAACTTACATCACACCACCTAGACATCACATTCCATCACCACATATCCACTCGATCACATCTTGTCATGTAAAATCATTAGTTTAGAAAATAATAAAATTCCTTTTTAACTATATACTTGACTCTGTCTGAATTAATACAAAATGTGTTTATGGTCTCTCAACAAGCAAAGAACCCTTGACTCTTCTGATTATACATTCAAAGATCAATCAGATTGATATTTCATATTTATATGGAATAATCGCATCTTATTGGTCATAATTAATTTGCAGTCGTCACTCTATATAGTGTGACCGCTACATCACCATGACGTCATCATGACAATTAGTAGGAATTAAAATTGGACATGTCACTAAATCTGTAGTTTGCATCATTCATTTGGCCGTGTGGCCAACTTTTGCTGGAAACAGGAGATGGTGGGGCATCATATAAGTCTGGACTATCACACTCCTCTGGTACGTTAGCACTCCTGGATGAAGTCAGAGAGTCGATGTTGGAACTTTCTGCATAATAAGGCCAAGTGTTTGAGGTTGGACTAACAGACGGGAATTCCTCAACAAAGGAAGAGCTAACGCTGGTGAACAAGGAGGCTGAGCAGGTTCTGGGCGTTCGTGGTTCATAGAGATTCAGTTTGGAGACCAGAGGTTTCCCCACAGTCACCGGCTGCTTTTCTTCTACCTCTTCATCCATGTTGGCATAGGTGTAATGAAGGCAAACAGTAAACGTGAGCTCCCTCTGTGAAGAACGCGTTAATTATTACCATATGGTATATTTACAGGAGACTTTTTCAGATGTCTAAAAAGTGTTAAACGAAAAGACAAAAGCGAGAGTCAAACCTGGAGTCTCTGCAGGCTGTGAATACGTGTGTAAAGACTTGGGACGTCCGGGCACCGGAGCTCTTCCTTAATCAGAAGTAAACTGCCAGCTTCAAGCAGAGTCTCCTGGTTGCTCTGTTTCAGATCAACATCCACATCCTGTTCAGAGAATTTTAAAAATCTTTTTTTTAATAGGCGTTATCTTGTAAAATACCAACAGTTCAACAGTTTGATCTTTTTGGGTTCTGAAATTGAACCCATATCATAATTTAATGAAAGTAGCTGAATGGATCTTGGCTTTAATGGTTTCAAGGGAGGATACCATGATGAGCAATGCCACAACTTCAGGATTTCTCTGAGAAATTTGTTTTAAAGAAACATTCTTTAAAGCTAGCTTGATGTTACTAATGTGTTGCTATGACAACCAATTTAGGATATGATGAAGAATCCCCCAAATGTGTGATAAAACATATGGTAGGAGATAACCCACCGCTGGAAAGCCAGTCAGCTGAGCAGAGCAGGAGACGACCTCTCGTGGTTTCTGGAGAATCCGAGTGTAGATGACCATGACGTTGGAGAATTCTGCAGCAAATCCCAGCTGAACTTTCACCCCGCAGTCAAACTGGAGGAAACAGCTCTCAGGAAGAACTGTGACGTATAGAGCAACTGGATCTCAGTAACTTTTGCAATATTTAGTTCTTTCTACTATAAACCTAAATATTAGGGTACCATGAGCAACTGCCCACTGCAGGTTTCGAGCTGAAGAAGACGCAGATCTGTCAGTAGCCTGTATCTGATCAGTGAGGGAACGTCTTTCTGACAGATTGCTGCGAAGCTCTAGAGCCTGACGACCTCTCGCAATCGCACATCGACCCATGTCTGGAAAGATTAAAAAGACTTCATCTAAAGCTACATCAGTGAAGTTTTCAGCACCTCTGGCCTGAAAAATCCAGAAAGGGATGAAAAGTGCTGCAGAATCACTGAGCTGGATGAGTCTGTGAACTCTACCTTCAGCGACCCGGTCCAGCATGATGGTGACCTTCTCATTTTCACACACTCGCTGTTTAAGGAAGTTTATGAAGATGCCGTTGGCCACGTCTTCCCGGTTCACCTCATACGCTTTGGCATCAACGCATCTAAACTCAATGAATTACACACGAGACGTGAAAACAAAAAAACAAAAAAACAAGAGGATCTAAAACAACAGCTGGCACAGAATCGGCAACCTACGTGGCGTAACCAAACACTATGTTTGCCGTGACTTTGAGCAGTCCAGGTTGAACCTTGACATCATCATTTGGGTTTCTGGAAAATAAATAAATAAAGTTTAAGATACATATATGTATGAAAAATAACACTAAATAGTTTTTAAATTTTAAGCAAGAACTTTAACATTGATCTCAGTAATTGTTGAGTTAGAAACTTGACCAGTTTCATATTTGACACCCCTCTGCAGCCCTTTGCTGGACAGATGCACTCAAAAGTTTTGTGGAGTGGATAGGTGTGCTAGGGGGCGCTCTATACCTGCATAATGGCTCTTGGCCATTTTCCATGCAGGTAGCTAAAATGTTAGCTATTAAAGGCTAGCCATTAGCTTTTTCAGTTCTATAAAAGAAACAAAAGAAGAAAAAATTGTTTGCTTTTTTTGTTGGCCCTTCCAGGCTTCTGTACCAGTAACCTGGTTATGGAGGAGGGGTTCGTCTCACAAACAGGAAAAACACACTGGTGAAGTGGTGAATTAAAACAATTCACCGCGTCACCAGCTAATGTAGGAGAGGGAACATGTAAATGGTAAATGGCCTGTATTTGATATAGCACCTTCTAGAGTCCTGGGACCCCCCAAGGCGCTTTACAACACAATCAGTCATTCACCCATTCACACACACATTCACACACTGATGGTGATGAGCTACGATGTAGCCACAGCTGCCCTGGGGCGCACTGACAGAGGCGAGGCTGCCGAGCACTGGCGCCACCGGTCCCTCCGACCACCACCAGCAGGCAAGGTGGGTTAAGTGTCTTGCCCAAGGACACAACGACAGCGACAGACTGAGGGGGCTCGAACCTGCAACCTTCCGATTACGGGGCGAGCACTTAACTCCTGCGCCACTGTCGCCACATGTGAGTGAGTCACCACGGTAGAAAGACCAGCTTGTTGTGAGTGAGGATCTGTGGCTGAGGAGTGAAAACAAAAGAGAAACATTCGGGACTGAAGCTCCGTCAACACCGGCTGGCGACGCGGCTGCATTTCTAAATAAAGCATGTCATTTTGGCGGCGCTGCAGCTCACGGTTCTGGGAGAACCGGGCATGCCCGTCCCATCAACAGCAGGTGGAGCTTACCGCTCCGCCCATCTCACAACCAGAGCGTAAAAAAGCACATCTGCTTGGATTCTACAGATGGGATTCTGTGTGTGAATTAATGCCAGTTAAGTATTAAGTAAATGTTGTTTGTGTGCTTGTTGTTCAGTAGCTAATGCTATAATTAATATCATCTGTTTTTATTTTTCATAAGACCTACACACACTGCGTGATGCGCGTTTGGGGAGTGCAGATGCTGGTTTAGCGTGAGAGATTGGAGGTGTGGCGTGAGAGCGTGTGAAGAGGGTCAAATGCGTGTGTCTCACGCTCAGCGCAGGAGAGTTGGCAGCTCTGGCAACCAGTGGGACGGAGAAGCTGGAAACTGTTTGGTGTTACTTTAATTTCATTATTAAAAAAAAGTCTTAAGAGGTGTACCTCACACGGCACATGTCCAACAGGAATACATTGAGTCCAGTCTCTTTCTCCTGCATCTTGGTGAGAATATTCTGCACACACAGGCAGTGCTGTGATGTGTAAGAGGCCGGAGCATCAATAGGAACCAAGAAACTGTTTCCGTAGTTCTCATAACCATGACCAGCATAATACAGCAGGCCTGCAGAAGCAACGGCCAAAGAAATATAAAACAAGGCAGACTCCAAACGTTTTCACGTGTTTCTTCAGCTAAATGAACACTGAATGTAGAACTAACCATACACTCCCTTGTCAAGCAGCAACAGGAACTCGGTCACGGCGCTGTGCATCTCCTGAAAGTTTAAGTCAAGCAGGGAAACCACCTTGAAGTCCATTTGTCTGAGAAGGTTGGTCAACTCGTGGACATCGGAAATAGGAGCACGGAGCTGACCATGGTGGAGGTAGTTCATGTTGCCAATCAGAAGAGCAACTTTGTCTGCAGCTGAGCAGAAGGCAGATAGGAAATCATTAAACTCAAACTCTAATTGGCACTGGACAATTATTTAACATGTTTGTGTGAAGGTCACCGTAGAAATTCATGGCTGCTGAGGGCGGACTTGTACTCTGATGTAAAGGATACACTCCTTGTTTGGAGGTCGACTTGTGGACTTCCTGTGACTCTACCAAAAATAATAGAAACAAATAAACTAAAAAGAATAAAGCCCACACTGGGCTCATGCACACTCAACAGAAAGTGTGAATGTAAAAAGGTTGCCACAAACCAAAAGACTGTAAATACAAAACAGGAAATAAAAGGGGAGAAAGAAGCAGAGGAACTAAAATACTATTGCGGTTCCTCTAATTCACGCCGAACATTTCAACAGGAACAGCACATTACCTAATCCACGGTCGACTTCCACCCAGGAGGCTTCTGTGACTGAACTCGGGCCTGTGTGAACGTGCAAAACAGGATACCTTACTCTACATCACTGCAGATCAGCTATTAATTGTGTAACCCTTCAACAAAAGGCTGTTAGGTTTTTTAATTAAAATTTTAACAATATGTAATAAAGAATAAAAAGTAAAGCCTGTGGGGGTCTCACCAATGGTGACGGTTGCCGTGTCGCTCCACGCTTCGTGGTACAGATTAAACACCTTACATCTGTACTCTCCTCTGTGCTTCGTGGTCACACACTGGATCTAGAAAACATACGTTTTATTCAGACACCATGGATGACTTCTCATAAGTCACTGCTTTTTTCTTTAAAAAACAAAAAAAACAAAATTATTTTATGAAATAACCAAATTGTCTACATTTTCTACGAACTGGTTGATGAGATGGTAAACCACCATTAAAACACATGAAAATAAATTCACAATTCACAATCATTTATATATTTAGACAAAGGATGATTCAATGGCATGAAATCAAATTTGAAACGTAGTAAGATGCTAGCACATCTTTTGACTCCGTACTTTGTTTCATGTGGATTATTTGTATATTTAGACAGCCAATTTAAAGGTGCATCATGTAGAAATGACATCCCGTGGTAAAATTTGGTTACTGCAACCACTTTAACACTAGAACTCCCAGAGAGCCACCATTTGCCCCCCCCCCCCCCCCCCCCCATCTACCAGAGAGCCGCCATTTGGCCCCGTTTTCACCTTAATCACTTGTGAATGTTCGCCTTTGTTCTGTAAATTCCTTTAGGAGATGCTGGTGCTCCTGGTAAAGAGGCAGCTAGAGAAAAACCAGAGACACAAGACTACTCCACAAGAGCGTCTTCAGTTAGAGGCTACATGCAGGATATAATGACAGAGCATACAGGCATCTGTAAAACGTGATTTCTTTAAAATTACTATGTTTGTAGCCTTTATAGCTTATGTTGCATTCACAACTTGTGTGCTTATCTGAAGTCTTCACAAAGTCAGTCATAAATTATTTTGGGTGGGCAAGTTCAGTTGCTTTTTACAAAAGGGCCACAAAATGCTCAGGCAAGTCAAGAAAGCCTTATGGTTTTATTAGAACAATAAACCTTCAAATGCACAAGCCATTTGTGAATGCTTTGTATTAATAATAATAATAATAATAATAATAATACATTGAACTTATATAGCGCTTTTCTAGACACCCAAAGACGCTTTTTCACACACTCTCACATTCACACACTGCTAGTGATGGTAAGCTACTTGTAGCCACAGCCGCCCTGGGGAGGTCTGACAGAGGCGAGGCTGCCATTTGGTGCCGTCGGCCCCTCTGACCACCACTAACACAGGCAAGTTGGGTGAAGTGTCTTGCCCAAGGACACAACAGCAGGATACCCCTGGCGGGAGCTGGAATCGAACCCGCAACCGATCATGAGGCAACCCGCTCTACCACCTGAGCTACTGCTGCCCTTGCAACTCAATTTTGGGGGAATATACAATGCAGGTTTCGATTGTCCAGGTTCCAAAAGACGGTTCATAGCAGCTGTGATGAAGCTGCTTTTCAGGTGTTGAAAACAAGCCAGGCTCTTGAAAAGACTTCAGGTGATCAGCTAACTCTGAATAGAATTTATTTTTACCTGGCTGCAATTGCATGTAAAAAGAAACAGTGGACAGTGAAACTTCTTCAATCCTTTGAGTTTGGACGTGATCTGTTCTCCGTCTCTGCAGAAGCCACGCTCCTTGAGTTTTTTAGACAAACCCTCAAAGAGGTGGCTGTCCGTCACAGTTCCTGAGAGTTGTCTGGCTACTTCTGCCTCTGCTCGTAAAGACAGAAGTTCACAGATCTCGTCACTCCAATTAGCCATGTCCGCTGGTTGTTCACTACCTTTCCCATGTTTACGTCGTTTATATACTTGTGACAGTGTGAGCATCCTGTCACAATGTCCCGATTGATCATGCGCCCTGGCTACTTGGCCAAGGGGATGTCCCTTTGGCTGACTGGTTAGAGCGTATGACTCTCACCCGGGAGTCTGGGGATCGAATCCTGGTAGTTCTAGTGTTAAACATCTCTGTTAGCTTGCAGGAGACACGACAACCCCACACCCACTGATGGTAAACAGTAGTTACGTCCCTCATTCCTTTGCTTTGGAAGGAAACATAGACCTTTTACTACCTACGTCATCAAAAGTTGCACGTGCAGCCTGGCAACGAGAGTGAAGGCTTCCTCATTCACCCTCGATACTAAAACAGCGTTTTAAACCCTTTGTTTTGAAGTTCTGAGCACATAAAAATGTCGGGTTGTTGCGTGTATGGATGCCAGAATCGCTTCTCTTCAAGCAGTGGAATGAAACTTTACAGAATTCCGAAGGGAGCACATCCATTTCAACATGCACATGCCTGAGATGTAACTGCAGCCTGTTCTGGTACAGTTGGCTGTGAAGACGTAGTTCTCTGGTTTGTTTACTATGACCCAAGCCTCGTACAAAGCAGTCTTGTGTCCTTGTCTTTGGCTAGGAAGGACTTCTGCCTTCAAGACGCAAAACTCAGAGTCTATGTCGTGATATTTTAATTTTTGTACGTGGCCACAGACAACATAGTTGTATGCATCTAACGATTTGTATGCCCGTAGCTTCTCACGTGTGTACTTACTGGGCCTCTCCACTAAAAACGTATATATATCGGGCCACTGGATATCTGGCCACGCACCTACATCTTCCACCCATTCCGTAATGCCACAGGGATCCGGGAGTCTGTTGCCATTCGTTAAAGTGAGTTTAGTAATATAACATTCAAGATTTGCCGGTGATAACCCCGCAGCGTAGCTTGATAAAGCCTGAAACAATGCCATTCACTGTTGCCAAGCTGCGCGCGCATTCTCGCTGACGTCATATTGTTTACAAACAGTAAAAGGGTCTATTACTCTTTTAGGATTGTCTCACTGTAAAATTCTCACTATATTCTTCCATACTACACCTTTAATAAAAAAAATATCTTAGCAGCTATTTTCTGAGTTGTAAATGTTTTCTGCTTTTACAAGTTTTAATAAAGTAAGGTGTTTATACAGATAAATTAAGCATCCTACTTGGGTTTTAGAGAACTTACTCACCTGGAGGGAGCATGTCTTTTGTTTGGGCATGGGCTTTTTGTTGTGGTACCACTCATACTGAGCTGGGGGGTTGGCCTCTGCTCTACACTTCAGGAGCAGAGCATCTCCCTCAGACGCTGCTTGGGACTGAGGCTGCTGGACGATGTGCAGTCCACTCACTGAGCTGGTGAACAGGCTGCTGCAGCCTGCCGTGATGAAGGTTAATTGCATTCACGTCGTTAGAGATGACTTGAAATCAGAGAAGACAGGAGGAAGTAACAGATACCTGCAGTGGAACCAGCAGAGTGGACCAGGCGAACTTGAGCCCACTGGGAGAAGAGGCATTTTTCTCCCTGGTTGACTCTGCAGATGTAGTGACCCTGATGTGTGGGGCTTAGAGGACACAGAACCAACTCTGGTGAAGTCCCTGTTCCACCCACAATCTAAATATATCATTTATTGTTGTTAATACAATTATGTGAAGAAATATTCACAGAATTAACTAAAACAAAAGATGTAGAAATGACCTCATTTTTGCCTCTGAACCACTGGTAGTTGAGTCCAGGGGGTCCAGAAGCCCTGCAGATCAGAACCAGCTTGCTCCCAGCTGGAGCCTGTTGGGACTGTGGGTTTACTGTGATCCGAAACTGTTCTGACACTTAAACAAGACATGAGAAGGACAGAAAAACAGAACTCTGGTATTTCTGCTTAATCCTGTACAACAGGGGTGTCAAACTCAAATTCACACGGGGCCGAAATTAAAATCTGGGACGAAGTCACGGGCCAAACTTAATATTTTTTGAAAAAGTGACGGCAAATTTGCACATTTTCTTTATCGACATATATGCAATTTTGAACCTTTTAATTTGGAAACAAACTTATTTTTGCATTAACACTGAATGTGGAATAACCAAATTACGCACGAGCAAGACGATTTTAAATAAAACGCATCAGTAGTATTCATTACTTGTGGTATATTCAGCATTTTTAAAATCTATTCAGGATTTATGTTTTCTTGTCGTTTATTCATTTTTCTTATTTTTTATTCTCCTTTTTTTCTCCTGTAATACGTGTCATCGCTGCTGTGACGTCTAGCTTTTCTCACTGAGGAACAATGAAGGGATTTTCTATTCTATTCATCTATCTGCAGCCTTTCCACTTCCTGTTTACTGTAGGTTAAATCTTTTCTCACGGGCCAACAACAAAATAAAAATATAATTTGATCTTAAATGAAAATGCAACATCTCACCTGTCAGCTTTCATGTTTTGGAGCAGAAAAAGAGCATAAAACCAACATATTTTAAGCTCAGTTTGCTCCACTGGTTTACTGTGATGCTCACCTGTTCCAGCCAGATACCTGCATCATGGGGTTGATCTGAGCTGAGGGGGAGACTCCTGTTGTTTTGTTCATCTTCATCATAATGATGACAACATTAGATGGCAACAGGTTTGTGCTGATGAACAAGTCTGAGCAGCTTGACCACGTTGTTGTGTGTTGGGGAGGAAAAATAAAAACTACAGCAGCGACAGAGTCATGATGATTTGAGCTGCTCGCTGGAGTTATATCTGCTCTCTCTGGAAGTTAGTTGGAAAACCGCTCAGTCGTGAACGCATTACTGAGCGGTTAAAATCTCAGTTTCTGGGCTTCAACGTCGGCAAATAGCTGAGTAAACTCGACGATGAGTGAGAGGAGTGTTTAGTTTCTCTGAGACAGCAGAACTGCAGACACCGGCTGCAGACGGTAAAAACACAAAGGAGGGGGCGCTTCGGCTCAGCGCTAACGCCGCAAAGCATCATGGAAGTTGTAGTCTTTGCAGCAAAATCGGCCAGCGGGTCAGTTTTAATATATTTTTGATATTTATCTCACGGGCCACATAAAATGGCTCCACGGGCCTTGTGTCTGACACAAGTGCTGTAGAATCTTTGGGTGGTGAAACAAATCAAACATGCACCAACTTGTGGCTGTTAAAACAATGAGGAGAATTTTTCATCTAAAAATCAAGCTCTATTAACTATAAAGATCATAAACTTGTTTTTCATTGCTGCAAACAGATTTTTAAAGATGATGGTTGAGCTCCAGGGCACTTCTACTGGATTTGTTTAAATTAAAACACTTTCTTTGAAAATAAAAATCAACCATATAAAGCCCCAAAAAAGAAGATTATAATCTTTGGGACTGAAAAATCATTCTAGACGTTGGCTGTGAGGTGAGAAGTCTTGCAGATTTCCATTTAAAAATGTTTTTATAAAATAATTTAAACAGCCTAAAAAAAGTTTAAAGGGGACATAAAATAGTTCTATGGTCAAACAAAACATGTTTGTGAAGTTCTTTGCACTAAATCCCTTTCACATATACTGTAGCAATTTCAACAGTTTTATTCTTGACATTTTCAGTACTATCCAGAATGAGCCGTTTCAGGGATCGGTTTAAATTAACATTTTTTTGCTGATAACTTGTATAGATGAGTGTCTAATAGTGCTGTACACATGTGTAATCATTAGTGTGGCAGTTTAGTGTAACTTACTTTAAATTTAATATTTCAGCCCAAAACCATAATTATATCTCCATCTTCAGGTTAAAACTCTGCTACACATTCATGTAGAACCAGTTGTGGTTGATGGCTAAGCTGAAAAACGTGACGTCAGCAAATTACTATGTGGCTGCACTGCACTGGTCTCCAGGTGAGGCAGCCGCACCTGCACCTGGCTCAGCCACTCAACTGCCGATTTGACACATTAGCACTCTGAGCCGCTCGCCTCCTTGAAAAAAATGCCCTCCTCCCCTTTTCATCTAATGATTGTGGTTAACAGGAAATCCTCCAGAATGCTGCAGAATCTGTGTCTGCTCTTCTCCTGAGCGGTAAGTCTAGTGTGAGTACGTGCACGCTCGTTAATAATTCGTTTTTAGATTGAGAAACGGCTCTCGGCGCACAGACAGCATATGCAGCTTCGGTAATCGCTGCTTGCAGTTGGGGTTTCTCATTACCCCGGCACCTGAAGTGCCATACCAAAGCTGTCCTGTTGAAAGAGCAGGCAGCTGCCTTTCGAAATGCTTTTTATATTTTTACAATTTTTATATTTTTTGTTTTTGTGAAGGGCCTCGTGATTTTTATCTTGAGAGGCGCTATAGAAATGATATTTTCTTCTTTCTTCTTCTTCTTTTATTAGATGACTCACCCCACCCTGAAATCACTCTAATGTGAGCCACCTGGCTCCTCGCTGGGATGGGACTAGACGAGATCTGTCTGTCCCATCCGTATATTATGTCGATGGTCCCATCACACAAGTAATTATTTAATATTTTTCAGTTAATAAAACTGACTGCAACAAACTGCTGAAGCATGAGACGAACAGGATTACAAACGTAAGAAGATACGTTGTTCTATTTTGCGTACTCAAGTAATAAGAATAGAATTCCGATATTTCAAGAACAGTAGTCGAACAATAACTTTTAAAAATGAGACATTTTCCATAAAACTGCTCATTTCCACTTGCTTTATAATATTAGCATTTGCAATTTTGGTATTAAGTAAGGAATGACAAGAAATAAGAATTAACAATAACATAACTATCAATAAATAAATGTCAAAGAGTTACTAAAACAAAAATCTTACTTAACCATTAAAGGTTAAACTGTGTTGTGTGTCCATCTTCATGTTTTCATAGTGGCTGAGTGGAGAGCTGACCAGAAACAACGGTGGTGGCAAATCCCAGTTGGGTCTGTGATGGAGTGATGCACACCTGGAGTGATTGCCTTCTCATCCACAGTAAGCACACACTCTCTTTTCACCTCTGTCAGATTTTTAACCTTCAAACTGAGCATGTCACACATCTCTCCTAACATACCTGGTTCCAGTTAATGGGCTGCATTTGTCTTTGCAGGGTTCTAACATCAGGCAGAGGGATACTCGTGTCCTGAAGAAACCTACAGCCTGTTGAACCCACTGAAAAACCGAGCTGTACGGCCTTTTTGATTGTCTGTTTACTCCACTTAATGCCTCTTGTGTTTTTCATGCCAATTGCCTTCTATTGAGCTTCAGTAAAAATAATTGAGATGAGAATTAGCTCCTCTAAATCCGAGACCACGGTCTTTATTCAGAAAAAGGTAGAATGTCTTCTCCGGGTCAGGGATGAGGTCCTGCCCCAAGTGGAGGAGTTTAAGTATCTCGGGGTCTTGTTCACGAGTGAGGGAAAGCACAAGATCGACAGGCGGTTTGGTGCTGCGTCTGCAGCGTCGTACCGGTCTGTTGGTGTGAAGAGAGCGCTGAGACGGAAGGCAAAGCTCTCAATTTCCTGGTCAACCTACGTTCCTCCCCTCACCCTATGGTCACGAGCTTTGGCTGACTGAAAAAACGAGATCACAAATACATGGATGGGTGGCCGGACTCTCCCTTAGATATAAGGTGAGAAGCTCGGTCATCCAGGAGGGGCTCGGAGTAGACCCGTTGCTCATCCACATCGAGAGGAGCCAATTGAAGTGGCTCGGGCATCTAGTCAGGATGCCTCCTGGACGCCTCCCTGGTAAGGTTTCCCAAGCACATCCAACCAGGAGAAGAGCTAAAGGAAGACCCAGAACACGCTGGAGAGACTATGTCCCTCGGCTGGCCAGGGAACGCCTTAGGATTCCCCCAGAGGAGCTGGGCCTCCCTGCTTAGGCTGCAGCCCATGCGACCCAACCCGGATAAGCGGTTTCAGAGTTGAATGGTTACATGTACATCTACACCTGTCATGTTTACCTTACCTGTGGTGGTGAGGAACTGCACAGCTTCCTGGTGGTCAATCTTTCTCAGGCAGTGCAGGAGGAAGTCCAGGGAGCAGCGACGATCATCGAGGCAGGCCAGAAGGTTTCGTGTGGGGCTGCCTAAAGGTTCCAGCACCTGAAGGGAGCAGCAGGTCAGCTCCTTCTCACTGTGAGGAGAGTTAGTGATTACACCGTATCAGTGTGGCCAAAGTTACAAGAAACTGTACAGTATTAACGGAGAAACTTACTAACTTAAGGCGCACAGTTCGTGTATTTAAATGGATATAAAACTGAAAATGTCATTTTAAACCGTTAAACAGCTACACCTCCGTGATACCTTCAGGGTCTCACCTGCAGCGGAATTGAGGCTGCTCAGCCGCGGCGCTTGCCAACTTCCTCCACCCACAAGCGGAGTTGTCCAACATCTTTGACAGCTTGCTTAAAGCCTCCTCACCGAGAGAACCGACGCCCATTGTCCAGTTCTCCATCCTCGCTTTTGACTCGCGCAGTAAATCAGAGTTTCTGCACAGACACGGGCGTGAAACTGATAAACGTATGCGCTAAATTTCAACAGGTTTGTGTCCAGCAGCACGTTCAGGCTGTGACTAAAACAAACCCGTGAAGACGGTGTTGATTGTGTGAAACACCGCCCCTCCTACGAGTCCGAATCTCCAAAAAACTACGAGTACTAAACGCAACCAGCGGGTTTAAGGGTTTCAGAGGGTGAGACCCGCCGCGCGAGCGCACACACACCTTTCACTCTGCACTAATCTGGGCTAACTCGGAAACAATCAAAGATATGTGACACGAGTGGAAATCTCAGCAAAAGTAAAATCACTAGCTCGATTTTGACTCGTCGCTTCCGCCTTAAACTCACAGTTCCTTCAAGAAAACCAACTTAAGTCCAAGCTGGAGTTAAAATGTCAGAAGAACCGTTGAGCTCCTTCTCTTAGATGTCTCTGGTGTATCTCACCCACTGCGCTCTTCTTTCAGTCTTACCTGCTGTTGTTCCCCAGTTTGTTTCTGATTTCGGTTCCTCATTTCTGCCATCCCTGGCCAGCACGCTCATTTGCATGAAGCGTTGTCATAGCAACAGGGCCCATATAATATTAATGAATACCAAGGCTTCGTTTTGGAAATGAGTTTATTTTTGTTTGTGATTTAATTCAGTAAAGAAGGGACAAAAAATCGTTAAAAATGAGATGTTATAGTTTCTTATTCTGATTCAGTTTGCAGTAAATGATGGATTTTCTTTGCACACATTCCTGTAATTTCACATTTAAACTGGATTTTTTAATCAAACATTTTGTAGTTTCATCTGTTTAAAAAAAAAGCGCAAACATCTCCTTCTGGTTTTGACGAGTTGACGTAGCGAGGTGTGTGCTTCACATGATCTGGTGTGTGACTGGAAGTTAATAAGCGAGTCCAGAAGTTTCATTATTATGAACAGGAGTCCCTTTTTGAGTCCAGAATGTGACAAATGTTTACGGAGAGAAGCTACTGATCTAAAACTTCTTCCCTTTATGTAGTCTGTTGTAACGCCAAATGTTTTCCTTCCTGAGACGGCTCCAATATTGCCAGGTGTCGGGTTCCAGCTCCTGAAGTTTTTTCGCCTTTCCCAAGTTCAACTGGAACAACCTGAGTGAAAATGACAAAAGAAAAAAACAACATGTTCAAACTCTGGTTCCCCTATTAGTAAAAGATATCTGCACCTCTCATGCAACTAAAACAAAAACCAGAAGTAGAGGAAATTCTACCCGTTGCACATAATTTCCCCCGTGCCCCGCATGACTGTCCTGCTACAGAAGCATTGCATGCTACAGACTCATTTCAATTATAAAAGTAGATATTACCCAACCTGAGTCTGTCTGGAATTTCCCTTTCTAGTAAAACTAAATAAATAAAACAAGAATCCTAAATTAAATTTAACCCAAATGTTTTCCTAAAAAATATAAAAGTTACTATCCTATAAATGACTTGACTTTTGCTTTTTGGAGTAATCATGCAAAGATTTAAATAGCATTACCAAATTATTTCAACAATTTAAATTACTTTTAAAATATTATTAAATAAACAGTTTATTTGTGAATGGAGATCATGAGGTAAAAATTTGACCAAATGAAGTCCAACACTAGGAGGGAGGGAGGGAGGGAGGGAGGGAGGGGACGGACAGACAGACAGACAGACAGACAGACAGACAGATAGATAAGATAGATAGATAGATAGATAGATAGATAGATAGATAGATAGATAGATAGATAGATAGATGATAGTTAACTATAAATGTGTCTGATGTGTTTAATTGAATGTGCCAACATGAAATCTGAATTATTTACACATCATTTTCACCAGCTGTCTGATTAAAGGTTGAATATGGAACACAAACACTCTGGCGAACTCTGGTGTTCAGAGGAGGTATTTCAACAGCAGGACAAATTTTCCAGCCGTTGGGATGTTGGTTCACTGCTTACACGTTCCAGCACCATGTTCAAAGAAATATAGCTTTTAAATGAGAAACTGCACAATCATTCTGCACACCTCTAAACGCCCCGTGGAGGTATTATTTTAAAAAAAAATGTATAGCTTTTTATTAAAATGTTCCATATTCTAACTTTAAACTGTGAATTTCCTCCACCAGACTAGTTTCACTCTTGGGTCACTGGGAAAAGCGCCACACTGCAGCTAAACATTTGGTTGCTAGGGAGAAATGAAGAATTTTGGGCCAATCAGTATCTGTGAATTGAATGCCCCTCGGGTGTTAGCTTGACAGTGCTGGAGCTTCAACTAGCTATCATGCTAGAAAGTGCTGGATCTCATTTTCACTCTGTCACATCCTCATTCACACCACTCACTGTTGGGTTTAAAATAAAGCTGAAATCATAACTGTTAATGTAAATTTTGTTTATTTTATGTTGGGTTTAAAATAAAGCTGAAATCATAACTGTTAATGTAAATTTTGTTTATTTTATCTCATTTTGTAGGATTTATTATGTTTAAAACAGCATTTAATAACAATTAAATTTTTATGTCGTGTTACTGCCACCTACTGGCCAAGACGCAGCTTTGAGCAGGTGATAGAGACAAAGATTATTATTGATAGCGGTTGCTCTTAAAGGGTCACACAGGCTCCATTATAAGAACAGAAAATTTACTTTCTGTAAAAATTCTTGCTTTGAGGGGGAAAATTTATGGTTGTTTTGGAAAACTTAGAAAAAACTTTAAAAACTTATTTTCAACAATTACCTGTGCCAATGCCAACATCCGTCAGTATTAGTGATCTGTACTAATAATTTTAATTATTAAAGAGCAAGCCACCCCTACCAATATGGCGTGGTATGGTGGCCAAAATTAAGACTACTGCCTAGCAGCAGGAGGCTATACAAATTCTGAAGCAAACTACCAACCTGATTAATGATAAGCTGGCGCTGGTAACTGAGAGGCTAGCGCTGCTTACTGAGAAATACCACCTTTACCGGCGTTACTACCAGATACGCTAGGGACTAGCAACCCTCGGCTGGTCATTGACTGGTTCACACACTCCCTCTGCTGTCTATTAGCATGGATAGGCTAGCGTTAGCCTGGACGGGCTGGTGTTAACATCGGAGAGGCTAGCCATTAGCGTGTCTAGCCTGGCCACTAGCTGGCTTTCCTACCCCCTTGATAGACCATTAGCATGGATAGGCTGGCGTTAGCATCGGAGGGGCTAGCCATTAGCATGCCTAGGCTGGCCACTAGCTGACTAGTGACTCTCCGAGACATGCTAATGGCTAGCCTCTCTGATGCTAATGCCAGCCTATCCATGCTAATGGTCCATCGAGGAGGTAGGAAGTCCAGCTAGTGGCCAGCCTAGGCATGCTAATGGCTAGCCTCTCCAATGCTAACACCAGCCCATCCAGGCTAACGCTAGCCTATCCATGCTAATAGACAGCAGAGGGAGTGTGTGAACCAGTCAATGACCAGCCGAGGGCTGCTAGTCCCTAGCGTATCTAGTAATAACGCTGGTAAAGGAGCTATTCCTCAGTAAGCAGCGCCAGCTTATCATTAATCAGATCAATAGTTTGCTTCAGAATTTATATAGCCTCCTGCTGCTGGGCAGTCGTCTTCATTTTGGCCCCCATACCGTGCCATATACCAAAGTCTTAAGCCTGTGGCACGTTGGAGGCGGACGCACCGCGTCCGAGATTTTGAGAAGTCAAGCGGTCACACAGAACGCGCCGCTGAGCGCTTCTTGGAAAGTTGCGCGATAGTCACAACATCACGTGGGACTTGAGAACAGGAAGCGGGAAGTGATTCTATTGTTTATACTTGATCGGACTTGCCATCGTGTTTCGTGAGACTCAAATTCAATATACATGGGTAAGTACACTATTTATTAGAATATTTTAAGATCAACAGTACTTTAAAGTTATCAAAACTGCTGCTAGGTTTGTGCCATAAAGCCTTTCCGCATTGTAATGTCTGTTGTAAAGTACTCCACAATGTTGTAAACAGCCGCGGCGTCTATCTTCAGCGTCTCGGCACGGCGCTCCCCGTGTGTCCAGTCTCATTAACTATATAGTTTATCAGCAAAAAAAGTTGACTTGGGGTGACTTGCTCTTTAAGTATTGCAGGGCAGGCTAATTTTCTTTTTAGTAAATGTATTTGGTATTAATCATGAAGTAGTAACAGAAGTAATTATTTTCATAGATGAGCTACTGTTTATTCTGTATTGTGAATTGTTTCATTGTTGTTACTGGTCAGGGACCCAGGAACTGCAGATAGCTTACGGTTTTTGTAAATGACACTCTGACAAGTAAATAGTAAACAAACAATAACAACAAATCTGTCAACAAACATAAACCATGTTCACGCACAAAAGGTGATTAAAGAAGATTTTCAAGGATACATAAACACACATGGAATGAATGAACTCTGGGTTTAGGCAGCTGTCAGTCCCAAATAACAAAACTTTTTGTGATGACTGTCTCTCATATCCAAACAACTGGATGCGATCATCACTTTCATTTACAATTACACTTGTACACGATGAAAATTCATAACCGGTCTTTTAACGAGTAACATTTTATCACTACAAACTTTGCCACATAACACAACAGCTTTCTCTGCTGGTAAGATGTGGATTCATGAGGACGTGTCCACAACCAAGCCAAGAAAACGTCATTCAGGTCAGGATGTATTTTAAGATGAGGCTTCCTATCTGAAAAATCACTTTGATATGGAGGTTAACCCTTTAAAAAGATGATGCACACTAACAAACCCATTAAAATATATGACAAAGGACAAACTACAGGAAAAAGCCAACACACAAACCTGAGTCGCATTCAAATATAGTATGTGTATTTAGTACATGAATAAATACAATGTCATATGGGGTAAAGTACTTTAATATGATGATAAAAGACTACATCAACTCAAGTAGCAGAAATTGTAGTGATAAGCACACTCACCACTCAGGATATTCCCCATGAGGCTTTAGTAGAGGATCTTCCCCTTGTTTATAGATGTTTACCCCCACTGCATGGGATGTAAGTCTGACTGGGTCTTTACACACCTCTGGGCCCTTCTGCTCCTCTTTCACCATGCCTTTACCCTTCACTTTGGCCGCTGAAAAACAAGAAAGTGGGTTTGGCTGGTGCAAGCTGCCACTGAACTCAAATATACACATTTAGCATTGCTTGAGAGGGTTCTTTAAAACGCAAAAGTGTTCAGTTGATAGAGACGTCCTCTTACTCACCAACTTTCTTAGCATATCCACATGTCGGTATTCGATATATACTTATCCTGCTCAGAAACATTGCAGCGTTGCTCGTGAAACATCTTGGCGGTGCTAACCGGAATAAACTGTAGCAAGACATTTCTGCTTTGTGTTACCCAAACGAATAACAGACCATGCTACAGTTTGACATTCATTGTTCAGTCCTTTTCCGTTTTCTGCCTTCAGTTCGGCTCCCCGAGGAACTGCACTGCCCCTCGTGGAAAGGAAGAGACACTGCATGCTGTGGTTGTGTTTCCAGTTTCCCTTTTAACCAGCAGGTGGCAGTGCTGATGCGGCTGAATTAATAACAAAGTAGAAGAAGACGCCAGCAAATTCTAGAAAATGTCTGAGTACGAGAAGATACAGAAAAGTTCCCTGAAATTAAAGGGTGTCGGGGAGCTCTCAGCTGGGAAAAAGTGAGCTTTATAACTTTAATAAGTTGTCTCACGTACAACTAGTTAAATCAATGTAATAATTCGTTAATTCGTCGCGACGATAATCGTGTCTGGTTCGTTTGCATGTTTGCTAACAGTGGTGGTGGTGGTGTTTTAAAGTTTACTGAATGGTGGTGTTTTAAAGTTTACTGAAAACATGTACTCAAGATCAATTGCGATTAATTAAATTATCAAATAGTATTTTTGTGGGTGTTAAACGTGCGTTTTTTGGCTGAGACTGTGTTGTTCGTGTCTATGTGTTATAATGTCTCAGAAACAGGTTGTGAATACTAGCGTTAGCATGAACAAAGCGACAGAGCTGCACGTACGTCGCGTAATTTCATAATTAATAAAAATTATGTCCTTAGAAACTGTGTCAGTATTTAAAAATAAATGTAAGCCGCTTTCCACAACAGTACTAACCGTTTTGTAGGAAGAAAAACGAAACATCTGTAGTATTTACCACATGATGCAATGTTTAAGGGTTACGTTTCACTCACGTGTGACTGTGAATGAATATAATAAACACAACTTTCACTGATAGAAGATAATTTAAAAATATATATTGATCCTCAGTGGGGAAATGCTGGTATCACAGCAGCAAGCAAAGCTAAACAAAACAATGCAGATAAATAACACAGGAGAGAGTAAAACGCTCTACCGTGAACAAGAAAGCAGCGCAGAGATACTTTTAAATGTATACACATTTTAAGAAATAAAAGGTAAATAATTGTGTGGAAAAAGATGGCAGAGTATATAAATGTCGTGGGAACACGGCCAGAACTAGTTTGCAATATTTGAACTTTTTCTGTTTTTCTTTAGAAAAAAGAAGAAGTCAGAGAGCAAGCATCGCATGGAGCAGGTTGTGACAAGTCAAAACGATGAGGAGGAGGTGAAAACAAAGAAGGCTTACATTGACAAAAGGACACCAGCGCAAATTGCTTTTGACAAGACGCAAGAAAAGAGGGTAAGTTTAGTTTCCCAACTCATCTTGCATCGGCTGGAGGCAAACAGACAAGATCTAGAATATTAACAAACTCTGTCAGTCGTTTCACAGTCTGAGTTAAATCTGACTATTTTAACACAATAATGCTGCAGTAAAATTTCAGGTCACTTGTGATAAAGTAGTGGACCAACTGCACATTACATTAACTAAAACAAATGACTTCACTGCACAACTTTCATGCTAATAGATTTAGCTCAGACCAAATGAAACTATTTAAATCAAATATGTTGTTACTCTTCACCATCGACATACATATATGGACAATGGGTTTCCATAGCTCCAATTAGGGCTGCTCGATTATGGCAAAAATAATAATCACGATTATGGTGACTGAAATTGAGATCACGATTATTTAGGACGATTTTTCAATTTATGTTGATTTTATTTGTTTTTATTCAGTCATAAAATTGCTCAGGGCACAATCAGGACAAAAATAAATAAGAAACAAGATGATCACTAAAATAACTCCTGATTCCCAGTATAAAAAGACCAATATACTTATAGCTCATAGTTTATGACCCAAGGGCTATAGACCTTGGTTTAACTCATTTAAGTCTAACCAGTACAGACCCAAATACCAATATCTTGCAAATACTGACAGCAAGAATTATACAGTGGCATTTATAACAAATAAATGCAAATAAATTGATGTTCACAAAATGTTGCATAACATTTATTGAGTCGTGTCAAGGTGCTGTAGAAGAGTGCACTAGCACCGTGTCCTCAGAGAGATTAGTTATTAATTACCAGCGTGAGGAACTTATTTCTACCTTATTTATAAACTATTTATTTACAAGTTCATCAGTTAATGTAATAATTGTCCCAACCACAGCTGCACCCCCCCACCCCCAACCCGGTCTCACAGCAATCAGGGGTAAGCTGCACGTGTGTTTAGCACGCCGCACGCGCACATTTAGCCGTTTTTAGCTGCTCAGGAGTCCGCAGGTGCGGTGTGTGTCACTCACTCTGGTTAATCCAACAGGGAGCCGGCTCTGAGAGCTGTCTTTAGCGACTGACACATCACTACATCATTCCCTTTCCTAATGTCCTGAAGAACGGTCGGGAGCGCAGGCGGAGTGTTTAGCTAACCTGCAGGAAATGTCAACGCAGTTATCCAGAAAGTAGCTAAGGGTTACCAGAGATGTTTCTGAGGTGTTCGCTAGGTACTTTTAAGATTCAAAAGTCAAGCAGGGGGTCTGAAAAGCTGCTAGAAATAGCGTCAAAGTCGCTAAGTTGGCAACACTGTGGAGGAGCGCTTCATTTGCAACTCAGGGCAGCGCAAGCGGGAGGAGCAAATAATCGGCTTGTTTTGTTTTTTATAATCGTTCAAAACTCAGATCGTAATCGTGATTAAAATTCGATTAATTGAGCAGCCCTAGCTCCAATAATAAGTTTTTGTACTAAAATGGGAGGTGGCCACCACCGCCATTTTGACCGTGTCACAGGTTCCGTCAAGCCCAGATAATTCCATAAAAGGGAAGAGAGGTGGAGCTGTGGGTGGGGCTGTAAGGCTGGGATCAACTGACGACACCCGGTCGAACTAGCTACAAGCTAACCTGAAGCTAACCCAAAGCTAATGCAGAGGTGGGAGCTAAGTTAACAGAGGTAGCAACGTAGCTACAACTGGAGTTAACTGTGCACAACACCAGAGCTTCTGAGTCAGAGATACGCCCGGCTGACCGCTGGATAAAACCGGGTGGAACACAGAGGTCTCCGAGACCTCCACAAGCTGGCAGCCGCACAGCAGACAAGCGCCGCTGCGATCTGAGATGCGCAGAGCTGCCGCTGGGGAGAACCAGGTGGAAAGGTTTCCATCCCAGAGCTCCACAAGTCCGCAGCCCGCGCAGCAGACAGAAGCCGCGATCAGACAGAGATGCGCCAAGCTGCGGGGAGGCGAGAACGGGTGGAAAACATCGGTCTCCCGAGAGCTCCACAAGCCGATAGTCGGAACCCAGCTCCACCAACATGTTATATTTGAACCCATTTTCTAAAGTGCAGCATTATGTTAAATGCACTGGGTCTTACCCTATTACATTTAAATTTCATGGTTAAACAGTACATGTTAAAATCTAAGCTCAGCTCGGCAGTGACCTAAAATACATAAATATAATTTTACTTACCGAAAAAAATGAAGTGGAGACTCCTTGGATGCTCTATTAGTGCAATTAATGCCACAGCATGTCATTTTGTCCAACAATTGCACAAAAAATATCCAAAAAAGAATACACAAACACAGAGACTCAAAATCCCGGAGCAGTTTCCAAGCCAGACCGAGGCTCTACTGAGGCCTTTCCACGGAGCTAGCTCTGTGGTCACGTACCATACCATACCATATTTATTTATAAAGCACCATTTCAAAATAGCATGGCAGCTAACCAAAGTGCTGTACATAAAAAGCCAAATGCTCGACCAAGAAACACAATAAGAACAGGCAAAATACATAAGAACAAAGCATAAATAGTCGGAGAGAAAAAGTCCTACTAAAAACAATAAAATAGGAGAACATTTAACAGCACTATATAATAAAATAATGCGACGAATGATAAAAACTTTTGAAATGGCACAAATAAAACGAAATAAAATACCAGATGGTGCGAGGTGCCAAAAGTGAGCAACTAAATCATAAAAATGGAATGAAAAACTCAGATCCGGTGCTAGATTGTCATGAAAAGTGTCACGGAGGGAAGGCAATGCTAAAGAAGTGCGTTTTCAGGGCCGACTTGAAGCCGCTAACAGAGGGAGCCAGACGCACACGGAGGGGCAGAGAGTTCCAAAGTTTTGGGGCTGCATAAGAGAAGGCACGCTCCCCCCGTGATTTGTACCGAACCATCGGAACAACAAGCAGCAGATGATCTGCTGACCGAAGGGCACGGGTGGGAACATATGGGGTCAGCAGGTCCGTCAGATAGGATGGGGATGGGCAGTACAAAGCCTTGTAAACATATAACAAGACCTTGAAGTTAATCCTAAATTTGACTGGGAGCCAGTGTAAATCTGCGAGGATGGGTGTGATGTGCATGTGTCTGTCGGTGTTGGTTAAAAATCTGGCCACGGCATTTTGAACCTTCTGCAGTTTGCTTAAGGCTGAAGCATTAATCCCAATCAGGACAGAATTTGCGTTATCCAGACATGAAGTAATGAAAGCATGAATGACTGACTCAAGATCCGGGCGTTTGAGGAATGACTTAAGACGAGTGATGCGGCAGAGTTGGAAAAAGCAGGACTTGACAGTAGCGTTGACTTGTGAAGACATTGAAAGGTCAGAGTCCAATTTCACACCTAGGCTAGGGGTACATGATTTGAGATTTAGTGGGAGACTTGAGACATCTAAAGCACCATTTATGTTAGTGGGGCTAAAAAGTATGGCATCTGATTTGCTGTCACTTAACCGTAGGCAGTTTTGAGAAAGCCAGGATCTGACCTGGGAGAGGCATTCTGACATTATAGAAAATGAGTGCTGTTGGTTGATTTGAAGGTAGATCTGGCAATCATCTGCATAAAAGTGGTAGTTAACCCCGAGACTTGCTAAAATCTTACCAAGTGGTAGAATGTAAATTGAAAAGAGGAGAGGGTCTGATGCTCATTAATTATACAGAATTTTAGGCTTTTAACACACAATTCACCCCCCTCAGAGTTGTCATGAGTGTGAACTAGATCATGTAAACAAAAAACATGTTTTGGTTCCAGGCTGTAAACATGTTTATTTCTGCTGTGAAATTGGTATTTTTAACATGGGAGTCAATGAGGATTTGCTCGCTTCTGGCAGCAGCACCCAGTGGATGAGGGTGGAACTGCAATTTTTGTACCTCCGGGTTGGGCCCAATTTTAGAGCCGCATTGTGGGGGCTTGCTCTTCATGAAAAATGTTTTTAAATGTAAACATTTCAACCATCTGCTCACCAAAACAGATTATCACTGGAAAAAGAGTTTTGACACTAGTATATAATACTAAATAGTATGGATCATTTCCTGGGACGTTCAGCTGGTGAAGCACAGCAGTAGTAAAGTTTATTTTTTATTTTTCTTGCAGCAAATGGAACGGATTTTGAAGAAAGCATCAAAGACACACAAACACAGAGTTGAAGTAAGTACAAATTTCTGTCGGACCTTCTTGTTCAGATTTGTAAAACACGACCTTCACTCAAAAATATCAAATGTTGGTTATTTTATAAAGGCTTTGATTGAATTTTACTATTTTCTATATTCAACCGTAGATTTTATTTGACCTGTCTACTTCCTTTAGCCTGTTTAAATGTTAATGTGGTGGTTGCAGATATAAGAAATATTTTGTCCTTTTATTGTTACAGGATTTCAATCGCCACCTGGACACACTGACAGAGCATTACGATATTCCAAAAGTCAGCTGGACCAAGTAAAGACAAGCAGATGTTTGTGGTTTTTCGTTTTTTGAATGTTCTATTGGATTCATTTGGGAATTTCTTTTGTGTTGTAAATTTGTTGTGCACAATAAAGGAGTATTGAACATCTGTTGTAGTTTTTTTTATATTTTTTTTACATTGCACTGACAGATTACTGGCGTGCAAAAGCATGACACAAGTTAAATCAATTTAAATAAATCTGAACACTGTGATAATGGCACATGTATTGTAAAGTGAGACAAAAGTACTATGATGCAATTAATTGTCACCTTTTTTCACCAAAGTGTTCCAACATAAGACTTTTTAACATTAAGTATAATCAGGTAGAAAAAAAAATGGGGTCAAAAGAATTTGGCTTTATTAACGGATGTTTTCTTCAAATTGTTCAGCTTTGATGTTGTAGTGTTGTCAGAGTTCACTTTGGCCCCAGCATCTCACTCGGCTTCACCCACTGGTCGAACTGCTCTTCTGTCAGGTAGCCCAGCTCCACGGCCACTGCCTTCAGCGTTGAACCCTTCTTATGAGCCGTCTTGGCGATGGCGGCTGCCTTGTCGTACCCGATGTGAGGGTTGAGCGCGGTGACCAGCATGAGGGACTCGTTCATCAGCTTGTTGATCCTCTCAGAGTTGGCCTGGATGCCCACCACACAGTTGTTGGTGAAGGACACGGACGCGTCACCGAGCAGCCGTGCGGAGTTGAGCACATTCTTGACCATCATGGGCTTAAAGACATTAAGCTCAAAGTGTCCATTGCTTCCGCCGACAGTGACCGCCACGTGGTTGCCCATCACCTGCGCCGCCACCATGGTCATGGCCTCACACTGCGTGGGATTCACTTTGCCCGGCATTATGCTGCTTCCAGGTTCGTTCTCTGGCAGGATGAGTTCCCCCAGGCCGGAGCGAGGCCCTGACCCCAGGAAACGAATGTCGTTGGCGATCTTCATCATGCTGACGGCTACTGTGTTCAGTGCTCCGCTCAGCTCTACCAGGGCATCGTGAGCTGCCAGAGCTTCAAACTTGTTTGGGGCGGTGATGAACGGCAGGCCAGTGAGAGAAGCAACAGTAGAAGCTACTTTCTCTGCAAAGCCAATGCGGGTGTTGAGTCCAGTCCCGACTGCCGTGCCTCCTGCTGCCAGCTCATAAACCCTGGGCATGGCAGCTTTCACCCGCTCTATGCTGTACTTAACCTGCTGGACATAGCCGCCAAACTCCTGCCCGAGAGAGAGAGGGACAGCATCCTGGGTGTGGGTGCGTCCGATCTTGATGATATTTTTGAACTCTTCAGCCTTTGCAGCCAGAGCATCATGCAGAGTCTGGAGGCCAGGTAGGAGCACCTGGTGCACCTCTGTGGCTACAGCAATGTGCATGGCAGTGGGAAAGGTGTCATTGGAGCTCTGACTCTTGTTGACATGGTCATTAGGGTGAACTGGATCCTTGGAGCCCAGTTTCCCTCCCAGGATCTCGATGGCCCTGTTGCTGATCACCTCGTTGACGTTCATGTTGGTTTGGGTTCCTGACCCAGTCTGCCACACCACAAGTGGGAAATGATCATCCAGTTTACCAGCTGACACCTCATCTGCAGCCTGGACGATGGCATTGGCTATCTTTGGGTCGAGACCGTAGTCTTTGTTCACCTGGGCAGCTGCTTTCTTCAGGATACCAAAGGCCTTGATCACTTGGATTGGCATTCTCTCACTCGGTCCCCCGATCTTGAAGTTCATGGTGGATCTGACAGTCTGGGCTCCGTAATACTTGTCAGCTGGGACTTTGAGCTCACCAAACGTGTCCCGCTCAATCCTGTACTCTGAGCTGGCCATTCTGGACGCGCAGATCAGGAGTTTAGAGTTAACGTGGAGTTTCTGTAAAGTCAGGAGTTTGCAGTTAAACTGCTGAACGCTTCTAAAAGAGCGGAACATGGCTTCGCTTTAGAGGTGAATCCGGGGGGAGGTCAACGCAGTTTTTCACATTGTAACAAGTTATTGGACGAGGGAGAAACTCGACTGAAAATCAGCCAATCGCGACGCAAGAGAGGCGTGACTTCCTCTATGGTTGTCGTATCAGGTGACAGCAACAGAACTGCTACATCCGGTTCTGTGAAGTCCTTCAAAACATCATGCAACTTTATTTCCGGTGTGGAAAATAGATAAATTTTACTTCAAAATAAAGTAAATGACTAGATAGACATTTAAAGAAGAACATGTACAAGCATGGATATTAAAAAACTTGAAAGAAAACATTAAAGGGAACATACAAAAGAAAATGTGTAATTTTAGGAATAAATGCCATAAAAGGTCATTTGTTTGTTTATTTATTTCTCATTGAGATTAAAAAAATATTTCTCAAGGGAGACCCGACCAAAGCAACATGGATCAAAACATGGTTACGTGGACTACACAGTTATACACAGGGAGAAACAAAGATTGCAATAAAAACTTTAGAAGTTTCACGTTATGAAGTCAGTCTCAGGGACTTTCACATTTGATTTAAAAGCAGTCAGTGAAAAATTATCTGTCATTTTCCATCATTATTCAAGATCTTTATCCAAGTTCAGTTCATGCACATGGAACAGAAGGCAGCAATTGATCTTGCACACAAAGAATAACGATCAGCACTTCTCATTTCAAGAAAGGATCATATAGAAAAACCACAGTCTGAGGATTGCCTTGTCTATAAATCTATACAAATCAGAATCAGAATGGTTTTATTGCCTCATTATGTGAGAAATCACTACATTAGTAAACTGCTGTGGTACTTGGTGCAAATAAATGATAAGCAAAAATTAGAAATAAGAAATAAGCACAATAAAATATTAATTATGTAGAATGGCAACAATGAACATTCCTCCGAATGGCCACAGCAGACAAGCCTCCTACTGGACAGTTTAAGTCAAATTAGTGAATCAGAGGTGAATCAGTTTGTGATGAACGCCAGAGAAGCATGATGCACAGTGTTAACCTTTAAAGCAGTAGCTTTCATTTTTAAATGTTGCAGCAGCAATCCACTTCTTTTTAATTAAAGAAATACTTTTTACTTCAGTTTCTTCATGGGTTTTGTATCTTTGATTCAAATGCATATTAAGAAAATACATTATGTGACTTTAAAAAAAAATCTGACATAGTGTTAAAAAAGACATTTGTAGTTCCTCATTCTGCCATAATCTGAACTGTTACCACTATCATGAAATACACTTTAAATAAAAAGATACATTCTTCCATATTGTTTGTATATGAATATATTTAAATCAAATTTTGTGTCTGTTAGCTTTTGAAGGACTTGAAAATCAAATGATTGCTCCTATCACATGATTAGGATGTGGTTCAATCATTTTTGGTCCACATATTATATTTAAAATACAACTTATAGAAACTGTGAAAAATCTACAATTTATTTAGTGAAATTACAATTTGCCCCAGTTTTTGCTAATTGTTTTTCTAAAATGTCACTGATAAAGACTTTTATTTTGAAGCTTAATGTACCTGAGCGGAAATGCTTGGTAGCCTTCGGTCTGACTTCGGTCTCGCGGTAACGCTGGTATCGGTTAGTATACAGCTAGCTTGTTAGCTAACTCCATCGTTTCCAGGTTTTGTGTCGACCTGAAAACACCAAACTAAGAAAGACACAGGAAGACAGTGCAGCTGAATATATTTTAAATCCAGTCTGCACAAAGAAGCGGGGCAATGCCACACAACTTCCAGCCCGGAGACTTGGTCTTCGCCAAAATGAAGGGATACCCCCACTGGCCAGCTCGGGTAAGAAGGCAACGTTAACGGGAGCCGGAGGGGCGGAGGAGGGGGTGGGCTGCTCTGTATGGGACGGTGTAGAAGATTCTCTAATTATCTCAGCAATATCTAATGAAAAACCATAAACAGAAGCATACCATAATGTCTGCGAGCTGACAGGTGGTTTGTAGACCGCCAGTGTGTGAGCTTTCTGAATTTGCATGATACGCTGCTGGCCTAATCTGCAGAGGCAGCGGAGCTAACGCTGTTAATTTTGGAAATGACGTTTAAGAGAGCTGCCTCGTTTCCTGGACTATAAACCCTCATCAAGGCGTAAAAACGCGTTTATTGTCCATCACAGGTGTAATCAGATACGCCACGTTTCCGTTTATGGGAAAGATGTGACGCTTTAATGTGCCTCTTGTTTGTTCCTTGAATATTCTGCATGTTCGCAGATCGAAGATGTGGCCGATGGAGCTGTGAAACCACCGCCAAATAAAATCCCAATTTTTTTCTTTGGAACACATGAAACGTGAGTACAGTTTTCCTCTGGGGTTAAATACAACGGTGTGTTGTTACCAGATTGTTGCCCTTTTATAGTTACATCTCAATTCAAAAATTCAATTCAAAGATACTTATTAATCCCAGAGGGAAATTAGAGTTTCATTACACACAATTCAGAGATCAGACATACATGGGCAAGACACATGACAAGAAATGTGACTGTGGTTATTCACAACCCTGAGTCACGCTACCTTAATAGAGATCAGAGGGTTATATGAGGATTGGTTCAGGTGGAGGAAAAAAAAAAGGCACTTTAGAGTTACCCTCCACCGGGAGGGCAGCTTTGCTCTGCAAAAAGAACACCTCAGACAGATATGCAACAGACTTCAGACATCACACAACATAAGTGTCCACTAGGTGGGGTGGTGGGTTTGGGACTATCCACACTTTGGTTCGTGCAGCCACTACAAACAGCGCATGTCACCTCAGTCTGAACAGGGGGAGGAGCATTGAGGGTTGGAGGGTTGCAGTGACCCTGGAACGATTCGGCGGCCTTCCCGCAGTCCCGCCCAGGCTGGGATAGGAGACAGAGTTGAGTTGCCATAGCGACAGCACATTCCACATATCTTCTGAGGGGGGAGTTTTCGGGGCACCAGATTCCGATTAGAAATTGTTTTGGGGCCAGACAGAGATAATTTCATCTCTGTCTTAAAGTTCCTTGGTCCTCAACCTCTCAAAATCCCAATAATGGACATTAATCTATCCCAGTCCGTGCTGATTCGTCCACTCTATCCTTGATGGCATCCATCTTTTGTGCCATTGAATGAATCTCGGCCAAAGTTCCAAGCTTACGATTCATCTTGACAATTATGGGGAGTGTGAATTCACAGCACAGTGCAAACCATCTCTGAGCTCTGGGCACGGGCCAATATTCCTCGACAGCTCGTTAATTTTCCGGTAAGCCAGGTAGCCTCCAAGGCAATGAGCAGGAAACCTGACACCAACACCACGAATATCCACACGTCTTCAGAGTCCTCCACAGACAGCTGAGATGAACAAATCAAGTTCCACTGTTTCCAGGAGTCCATGATGTGTCCAACTGGGTCTGTCCTGGAGGGGCATCCGGGAGCCCCTTCTCCCGTTCTCATTGTTGAAAAAATTGTATCAATCGCGTTGAGTGACCAACTGATGAGGTCCATTTTAGTGATTTCAGTTTCCAGAAAAAATGCTGAAGCAGCCTTGCAAACATGGACAGACAAAGGGCCTTGAGGATAAGATATGGAGGAGTGGGGGGAAAAGCGTCTACACCCTCCGAGAGCCGGAAGATTTTCATTTTAATTATCTATGCATCATTAAACCACCAGAGACCTCAGATAAACGTCATAGCTAAATCTTGCAAAAACATTTATTAGTTTTGTCCCATTTGGGAAACTATTATGTGCTCACAGCTTCATTTAAGAAGGAAATTGGATTCTATTATTGTCTGCTTTTCATTCTTTGTAGAACATTGTCTTTTTGATGTATAACTGCATAGATTACACACACTTTAAAGGCTTTTTAATGGCAATACAAGAGTTGTGTGATATATCTGATTTAATGGCACCTGCAGTATATAAATTCACCACTAGGGGGCACCGTATTCTGATCCAGTGTCTCAATCCAGTGTAAACTTCCTGTTGTTACGTTAGGATGTCACTTGACTGTTGAATTTACTCTACTCATCATCACAGAGCATTCCTTGCACCAAAGGACCTTTTTCCTTATGAGAAGTACAGCGAACGCTATGGAAAGCCCAATAAGAGGAAGGGATTTAACGAAGGTTTATGGGAAATCCAAAACAATCCGCACGCCTCCTACAGTGCCCCACCTGTAGTAAGTCCTACTGATGACTAAAATCCAGATGCATTGATAAATCAGAATACAATCTTGCACATTCCTATAGAAAATGTTATGAAAATGATCTTTTCATACCTTTTGCTAGTTATAGTTCCTCAGTTTTTTTCTTCATTGTTAAGATCTTTATGTTGAGTAAAGTTAATGTTAATCCTTTAATTGTGTTGGGGTTTTAGCCGCCTAGCTCATCTGACAGTGAGGGCAATGATGCAGGAGGAGGTAGTGACGAGGAGGAAGAAGACGACGAGGAAGCCCCGGTTCCTCGGAAAGCCGATTCGGGTAGCGAGGATGACTCTGATTCTGGGAGTGATAACAGAGGAAGGGGAGGAGGGATGAAGCGAAAACCGCAAGCTCCCAAGGTAACAACACCTACAGTTGAATTGATTTAGTGTGGAAATAGTCTTTCTTGCAACTACACAACATTTGGTTCATGATTAACTTGTGTCATTAAGTTAATGAACTCAACAGAAAATGGTTTATTTGGTGGAATTTATGGATAGTAAAGAGATGAGCTTGGCACAATATGCAGTATTTGTATCAAAAAAGCATTTTTGTGTCCATGCTTTCACGAAAAACTCAACACAAAGCAGCATAAAGAATACTTTTGTGTAAAGAGTTATCCTTGCAATGGTAAAAACGCTGTAATGCTTGGAAAATGTTGATTATTAAAATAATAATAATAATAACTGTTCCTGCTTTTGCCTTGTTTTAGCGGCCACCTCCTCCAAAAAAGGCTCGTGGCTCCTCTAGTGACCGAGATGAGGAGGAGAGTGGATCTCCTGAATCAGAGGCGACACCTTCAGAGTCTGACTCTGGCAAAAATAGTGACAAGGTTGGGGAAAAAAAGAAAACATTTATCAAAGTAGAATTTCTAGCTGTGGTGATACAAAACAGGCTAACTGTCTGTGTTTTAAAACAGGATTTTACTCCAGAGAAGAAACCTGGAGGACGAGGTGGAAAAAAGGCAGCAGGCAGAGGGAAGAAGGTGAACCACAAACTTTATTCTGCAAACCCCAGATTTATTATTATATTTAAGGTAAATGTCTGTTCTATTCTGTTTCTAATTTGATGTTTTCATGATGCTGCAGAAGGCTTCTTCTGACTCAGGATCAGGGTCAGATAGGAAAGTTGTAGACAGCGACTCTGAGGATGAGAAGCCTCGACCAGCTCTGTCAGGCTCAGAATCCCAGTCTGGCTCAAAGTCTGAGTCCGATTCTGATCCACCTCCCCGCAAGGGCCCGCAACCTCGCAAGAAAGGTGAGAGCTGACGTTCTTTTATCAGTCACAATAACAAAAGGTGGAGGTAAGTTTTGATTTGTTTTACCACAAATCTTTCATCCCCTTCTGCTGCTCATGAATACCTGAAGTCACATGTAAACAGTTTTTTTCTAACTTGCAGAGAAACCTGCACCAAAGCCTCGTGCACGGAAGCCCAAACCTGCCCCAGCAAAACGAGCTCCGTCTTCATCCTCCGACAGCGACAGGTCAGGTTGCTTTAAAGCTGTTATTTTGTGGGCGACGGTGGCACAGGAGTTAAGTGCTCGCCCCGTAATCGGAAGGTTGCAGGTTCGAGCCCCGCTCAGTCTGTCGTGTCCTTGGGCAAGGCACTTAACTCACCTTGCCTGCTGCTGGTGGTCGGAGGGACCGGTGGCGCCAGTGCTCGGCAGCCTCGCCTCTGTCACTGCGCCCCAGGGCAGCTGTGGCTACATTGTAGCTCATCCCCACCAGTGTGTGAATGGGTGAATGACTCTGTTGTAAAGCGCCTTGGGGGGTTCCAGGACTCTAGAAGGCGCTATATCAAATACAGGCCATTTTTACAATTTTTACCTGTGTGTGACTTCCAGTGCGGTCTGGTTTTGTGTGATTATTAGCTTGGCACCTGAAATTTACATCTTTTTTTTTTTTTTAAATAAAAAAGCGACAGTGAACCCGACCGCATCAGCGAATGGAAGAAACGTGATGAGGAGCGCAAGCGAGAGCTGGAAGAACGCCGAAAAAAGGAGGAGGCTGAGGAACTCCGCCGGCTACGTGAGAGAGAGAAGGAAGAGGAGGAGAAAAGGAAAAAGGACAAAGATAAGGCTAAAAAGGGGAGCGACAACGACAGCAGCAGTAGTTCAGATGAAGGTGTAGATGATCACCCACTGAAGAAGTCCAAGAAACCTCCTCCACCCCCGATCCCCGCACCTTCAGACTCAGATTCTCCTCCACCAGCAGAGGTAAACATCTGTTCTAACAGGAAAACAGATTGCTGTAGAATGATGCACGAGCTGGTTTTTTTTTTTTCTTGTTTAAAAGTTGAGAAAATCCTCCAAGAAACAAGACAAATCAAAGGCAGCAAAACAGAATAAAGAGAGAAAAGAAAGAAAGGAGAAAGAAGCGAAAGAGAAGAAAGCCCGACGGGCAGAGGAGAAATCCAGAGCGAGGTGAGTGGACAAACGGCAGCAGACCTCATTGGAACTACTGGATTAAATATTGAAGACCACAGATCTCAGAGTTCTCTCTAACTCAGGTCCAAGCCTGAAAAGCCCAAACGCAGACCGGAGAGGCAGCCAGAGAAGAGAGTGGAGAAGAAAAAGGGTCGGTATCGCTCACTGTCTCATCTGCACTGCAAACTCGTCTAATTCCTCTAACAGAAAAAGGGCAGATGCTGTTTAACTTTCTTTTTTTTTTCCTTTGTCCATATTCAGAAGCATCACCAGAGGAAAAGCTACAGAAACTCCACACAGAGATCAAGTTTGCACTCAAAGTGGACAACCCAGTAAGTTCAGCAGCTCTCTCTACGTTTGGGTTGATGCAGACATGAAAAAGAACTTTTTGTGTTTATTTTTTCTTTCTAGGACATTGATAAGTGTTTACAAGCCCTAGAGGAGCTTGAAGCTGTCCCTGTTACCAGCCATATTCTCCAGAAGAATGCTGAAGTTATTGCCACACTAAAGAAGGTGCACTTTATTTTTCTGGTTGCGTCTTTTGCTGCTGCTTCAGCCAGCGGGGTCCTTATTGTTATGCACCAGGGGTTTTTTCGACATTAATATCCTTTATTATTATTTTTCCGCGGACATTAATGCGGCTCGAATGGCAGCGTGCACAAATTTCACATCGAAATGAGCGGCTTGGCCGTGGGAGGTGTGCTATTACGTTTGTAAGAGTTCTGAATTACCACGGCGAGGTTATTAGAAAAGGCTTCAAAGAATTTCTGTTTTTTGGGCATATTGAGCTACCCTTTCAAACTTTGTGTGTGGCATTTTTTACATTTGCATAGAAAATGTCTTGTGGCAGGTCCCTTTTTAAAATTTCTTCTGGAATTTTCTAGTTTTTTCTCTTTTTTTTATGAGGGGTTATCTTCAATCTTCACCTTCATTTGTGTGTATTGTAATTTGTGTTTTTATGTTTTCATATCATGTCCTGATATTTGTAAAGCACATTGAATTGCCTCTGTGTTTGAAATGTGCTCTATAAATAAAGCTGCCTTGCCTTCAATGAAATACTGTCTTTTCCTAACATCTTCAGTGTGTGCTTTTTTTCTCTTTATTATGATTTTACAGATTCGAAGATATAAGGCTAGCACAGCGGTCATGGAGAAAGCCAGCGATGTCTACAACAAGCTAAAGCTTCGCTTTGTAGGCAAAACCGAGCTGGCAGTAAAACCTAAACCTGAAAACAAGGAAGCAGAAGACGATGACAAGGAGTCACGAAACACCGGTAAAAGACGGTGTCTGTGTTACTTTTGTTTCAAAATGAGTTTGGCAAATCCATATTTTGTCTTTTTTAGAAGCCACTCCAGTCAACGGGGAGTCAGCGGAGAAGAAAAATGAGACGGAGATGGAGGAAAATCCCAAAACACCAGAGGAGAACAACGACGACGAAGCCGGTTCGAGTCCAGTCAGGCAAGAATCACACAAGTTAGGATCTACTTTGGGTTATGACTTGTATTTTCTGGTTATGACTCGTTTCCACAGAAGCATAAAACAGTTAGTAAAAAAGTGATGTGATCTACTTTTTAGCTGATAAATTGACACATGGTTGTAATCTAAGCAGCTGTTGCTGTTTTTCTGCAGACGCAGCGCAGATAGCCCAGCCGAACAGCCGACACACACATACGAGGAAGCAGATGGCTCCGTCTCAGCAGAAACAGAAGCGCCAGCTATAGAGAGCTGAAAGACTCTTCACAACTCTCAGCAATGGACCAAGCTCTAAAAGATGGCGGCCCATGTTTGCTGCGCTCGTGCCCCCAACCACATCCCAGCTCACACTCGTCGTTTCCTGCAGCATCTGTTACATCAACGTTGATACATTTTGTGATCTGCTGATATCAAACCTGAAAGCCATCCCCCCTCCAAACACTCTGGTCCGTTGCCTCTCACGGCAAAATGAAATGCTTTTTAGCGTGATCACTTGTAGCGCTTCACGGACGTTTTATTTTTGTTGTTTGTTTCTGAAATTGACCTCTCCTTTTGTGTGTGACACTCACTTTGTTCTGGATGTTCAACTCATGTTTTTCTGTTGTCATCCTCTGCATAAACTGAATGATTACATTTTTAACTATAAATAGACTTTAACTTGGGTATCACAAAATGAGTTCTTACTAATTTTTACAAAGAGAAGCGAAGGAGGTGTTAATCTGTTGTTTTGAGGGTTTTGTGCAGCTGCCACCTGTTTGCTTCATTTTATAAAGCCTGCCAAACATCACGAAGGCCTCTTGTCTGTGTGTGTATAGCTTTGTGAGAGTAATGAAGTGCTATTTGTGTCTTTTATGTTGAATATTTTTTTAATTATGTGGTCTAGTTCAGTTAATTCAGTCTGACATGTAAAAAAGGTCACTTGAAGATACCCACCTACTTTTTATTGCTTCTTTTCAAATGATTACACTTTTGTCTAAAATAATATCTACAGTGCAGTTTAAAAAAACTTGCACACACATGTGTAGTGTTTGCTTTTAGTAAATTGCATAATAAATAACAGTATAGACCATAAACTGGCCAAAAAAGGGTAGAAATCATGTAGAAGCAATCTATTTTGGCATTTTTCCGTTACATGCCTACAACGTGTTTTTAATGCTCTGTAAATTGGTAAAGCATTTCTATTACGTAGTTGAGACTTGAATAAAAATCTCAGCATGGTTTTGATTCTTGTTTTCTGGTAACTTCTTGAAATGAGTCGGCTGCCAGAGGTGACTGCACAAACTTTTATCAGTGACTGATGATGGTTTTTAGATGTCAGCTGGAAAAGTATGGATAGGGTATGCTCCCTGCATCTGTTATATACGCAACACTATTGTCTGCAAAAATGTACAGCCAGTAATGACTCACTGTTTTGCTAAATAGTGGATTGATTACTTTGTAATAAAGTACCTAGGAAGATGTCTGAAGACCAATATATCTGTGGAGCCAGTACCATTTTTATGGTAAAGTCAAATTTTAACTCCAAATATCCAAGTTAGATTTAATTTGATTTAATGCTTTTTATAAATCTATATCTAAGTATTTCGTTGCTTTTGATAACCCTCTGAAGTCAAAGGAAGAAAGCTGGTTATATATTTTTGCACAGTCATCATTAAAAAATAATTATACATGAATAAAGGGAATAGGAGCTGATAAATTGTATTGTCCGTATTTGTAATAGCATACGTGTGTGTGTGTGTGTGTGTGTGTGTGTGTGTGTGTGTGCGTGCGTCCGTGCGCATCTATATCTTCTAAAACGTGTGTGTGGTTGTGTGGTTACCTGTGTGTGCAGGTCTAAGCTGTTTATCTGAGTCACTAAGTGTTTGTTGGGTGTTTGGATGTGGCTTTTGTCACTAAGAGTGTTGTTTTGTTTTTTTAATGTTGTGTATGTGATGAGGGAAGAGTTGCCTGCAGCAGCCTAGGCCCTGCCAACGCCAGAGTCTGTAGCAGAGTCTGTAGCCAGGCCAAGCACCATCATTTTGCAATTAAATTGCAGCCAAAAAGCAAGTGGCAAAAATTGCAGTTCCACCCTCATCCGCTAGTAGCTGGCACCAGAAGTGAGCAAATCCTTATTGACTCCCGTGTAGAAAAGACTTGCAGATTTATTATCAGACAGCTCTGCAAGGACTTCATTTTAAAATGGGAAAATTTTGTATTTTTTTTTTCGCAAGCACAGAAAGGAAGATGTATACTTTGTTATAAATTTGTTAATTATTCTAGCTAAATTCTATCTCCACAAATGCAAGTATAGTAACCAAAAACCTAATTTCAAGCACTATTATAGTGACACTCTATCTTACATAAAATTGATTAGTGGATCACTAAACAAAAAAGCTTTAAAAACTATAACTATTTGCACCACCTATAATTTATTTGGATGTTTGTAACATTTCTGTAGTGCACACCCTGGCATATGTTTCATCTTCTTTGTTCAATTTTGTATGCAATTTGTTTGCATACTTATCACCTTGTTCAATAAAGTTTTGAAGAAAAAAAAGACTCCCATGTAGAAAATGCCGATTTCACAGCAGAAATAAACATGTTTACAACCTGGTTCAAAGAACCAGCTTAGGTTTCATAGATCTAGTTTACATTCATGACAACTCTGAGAAGGGTGAATTTTTGTACCTCTTCTGTTCAAATGGATTTTAATGCTTACATTTCTGAATAGTGAGCATCCATGTGACTTCAGAGCTAGCTCAGAAGAAGGACCTAAGCCTGCGCCACTTCGACTCTCTGAACATTAGTTTTGTCTGTTTTCGTGTTTGGACGTTAATTATGGAATTATTTGGACAAAGAGGACAAATGTGGTTATTGACTACACAGATCATCCAAGCAGTTTCTGCTTCTTTTGATCAGTGAGGAAAATTATCTATGGTATGTTCTTGCTGTGTTGCTTTTCTAACTGCATTGTTGGTTCTTTTTTAAAACACAGAAAAGGTTTCTCTTTACCTTGCTGACAGTTTCGTTCGTGGCTGCAAACTTCTTCTGAGCGAACGAAACTGTCAGCAAGGTAGAGAAACCTTTTCTGTGTTTTAAAAAAGAACCAACAATGCAGAGGAAAATTATATTTCTGTACTTTATTTTGCTGGTTGAATGGGGGAAAATGCTGAGTCATTTAACTGCTTGGTCAAACTTGTTAGTGGGGCTGCATAAGAACCTTGAGCGGGTGCGCAGCTTCTCCTGTCTCCTGCTAGAGCACGCGGGTGGCTGTTTCCATTTCCCAGAGCAGCCGGACTGGTTCTAGTGACAGGATGTAGTCATGCTGGTCACTGGTGGATCTCTGAGAGACCACAGAAACACCACAGCTCTTTTAGTTGACGCTGCTTCATTTTTGAGTCATTCAACCGCATTTTCTCACTAATAGCTTGCTGGTTGAATGGGGGAAAATTCTGTGCATTTACCATAACACTGCTTGGTCTAAAATGAGTTGAAATATAATGTGTTGGTGTGGCTGCTGGGTTAAAAAAATACTAGAGCTATATATCTACAGAGGCTTTCGAACTTCGCTGTTCCGCCGCTGTCAAAGATCTGCAAGTCCGCCATTGTCACTCAGCTCTCTGCTCCGCAGGGTGTTGACACAGCGGCAGACTCATGGATCTTTGACCACGGTGGAACAGCAACGCCCGATATCCACAGTCAGCTTACCTAGTTATGATTTCATTACTAAGCAGGCCAGAGGTGCCTTCACTTTGGAGTCGCTCTACTGCATTTTTCTTGCTAAAAACGCCTGGAAAAACTCTGTTAGCTTTGCGTTAGCATGTGGCTAATGTCCTGCTGATCTCCGACCGTGGAGCAAGAGCAGATGTAAAAGGCTATGGCGCTTGGTTACGATCGCAGCTGTCTGAGGCTCCACTTGTAATTTAACAGTCCCAATCCACATTAGATCTCTAAAGGAGACCAGTATGAATACGGAAGGCTTGCAGGTTGGCTACCCCGTCCTTGGTGCCCTTCTCATCTTCTTGGGTGAGCTAAGTAGCTGCATTGGTTCATTTCCAACTGTAGCAGCTCCACCCTCAGCTCCACCTCTTTTCCCTTTTTTTGGACTGTCTAGGCGTGACAGGTCGTGCGACACGGTCAAAATGGCGGTGGTGGGAACCTCCCATTTGGGAACAAAACCTTGTAATTCGAGCCTATTGACATGAATTGTCCAGTATATATGTTGATGAGCCACGCACGGCCCAGCAGCTGATGAACACCAATGGGTGGACACCAATAGGCCAGACCAGAGGGCAGACCCAAAACCAGGGAAGAAGGGGGGTTAGCCAGATGATGTCAGGGCACCAACCCCCAGCCAAAGGAAACCCATTTGAGACTGCCAAACCTGGAGCCCCCACCCCAGCACACTGTCACGCCCACCGATACAGGCCAACCCAGAGTGGGCCAACCAAGCCCCAAGGGGCCCACCCCTATGAGGGACAGCCAGCACAGGCCAACCGGCCAACCCGGCCCTGCCACCCTGCAAAGCAAGTGCCAACACTCAACCATGCCACCAACCCATAGGGATAGTGAGGGTGGTAGTTGGCCTTGGCCGCGAACACTGGGAGTTTAGAGGGTAGAATCAGTGCGAGTGAACCATTGTTGTGAGTGTGTGTGTGTGTGTGTGTGTGTGTGTGTGTGTGTGTGTGTGTGTGTGTGTGTGTGTGTGGTTGTGGCAGTGGGTTTGGTGGGGGTGGTTGAAGGCTGAAAGGAGAGACCACTGCTTGGCAGCTCCACCCATCCAAACTCTTTCCCTTACCAGACTCCCTGGTGTTGTATGCCTGAGGGGAGTGATGTAGAAAAGGCGCAGGTGTATGGCTGCAGACCCGGAGACCGTAAATTCAGGCTGACTGCTCATTCAGCTTGTATTGTTTTTGAAACAGTGCCCTCTAAAGGATGAATGTTTGTTTAATTGCAACTGTCGATTCAAAACATGCCTTTGAATCACATTACATTTGTAAAATTTTATTAGAAGTTAGAAATTAAATTTTATTAAAGCAACATAAAATGTTTTAATTGCTGGTGAAGCATTGCATCAAACTATTAATTAATTGACCATTTTTTTCCATCTAAGTGAAATATCTTCATTTTTTATGTTAATTTACATACACATAATACGCATTGGTGGTATATGGCTCCTCAATCCAATGTAGGACAGAAATATCAGCACATTCTTCATTTCTGCAGCCATCAGGATTTTAAATCTATAAGTGTTGGAGGAGCTGCCAGACATTCATTTTCCATTGGGATCAGTAAAGTTTAACTTATTTCATCTTTGAGACAAAATGTAAATCAAAATAAATAGCGTACGGGTGACCTCTGAAATGATCAATACACTTTATACACATTCATTTTATGAACTTTATTTATTTAAAATCCAGCAGATGTTCTACTGTTGTTTATTGTTTGTATGGCCCTTGTCGGCTGTGGTGTGGTTGTCATGATCTGCGTCTCCCCTCATGTGTCTCCTTGTGTTCTCCATTCATCTCTAGGTTCTCCTATTGTGTATCCTAGTGCCCTCTTGTGTCATTGTCTACGTCTTCCTCATGTGTTCCCAGAGCTGCAGCCCCTCTAGGTTTCCTTCCCCCCAGGTATCTCCCTCCAGGTCCTGTGCTCCCCGTGGTCCTCCTTTGTCACACCCCTGTAGTTTCTCTTTCTGTGTTCCCAGATCTACAGCCCTCCAGATCCTCTCTCCCAGGTCCTGTGTTCCTTCAGTCTTCCCCAGTCACCCCTCCGCAGTTTTTATAGTTTCAGCTTTTCATTTTATTAGTCTCTTTAGTGTGTTTTTTCCCACCGGTGTTTGTAGTTTTCCTACACCCTTAGAATATTAGTTATGCTGCTGCTCTTCTTCTTTAGGTTTTACTCTTAGGTCATATTAGTTTCCTCCCTGATTAGTTAATTGCTTTCACCTGGTTTCTCTCCCCACACACCTGCAGCCCATCTGCCTCCCATCATGCCCCAGTGTATTTAACCCTGTCTGCGTCTCTGTCTGTTGACGGTCCATTGTTTGGTGTCGGTGTTGCTTTGAGCCTCAGCTCTTGGTTTTGCGCTCTATGGGAGCTTTGGTTCTCCTGGTATTCAGGACTTTGGTTTTTGGCTTCTGGCTTCCTGCCCTTTTAGATTTTGTTTCTCATCTTAATAAAAAGGATTTTACTTTTGAACCGCTCGTGCCATCTGGTGTTTCCTGCATCTTGGGTCCTAACCTCCTCCTAACTCGCAACGTGACAGAGGTGGTCTGCAGAGAAAAGAAAGATGGCACAAAGTCGAAAACACTCAACTGTAATGTTCTGCAGCAGGCACGATTTAGTTTATATTCACATTAATAACATTATTTACTATCTGAACAGTGCTCCTTTCTTTAACCTTTACCTTTGAATTAATATATCTTTCCAGAGTTTTACCTTTCAAACATTATGTATGATTTTTCAGAACTCCTTGAAAGTGATTGTCGCATCATGTAATGTAATATAATGTAAGCAACACTTTTTTTTTGCTAAACATGCCCCCTGCACCGTAGAACTCCATGCAATAGGAAACTGAGCGCTGACCAGAACTAACCAATAGCATTGGACTACCGCCTACATGCTTCAAATTTAAGGATGCAGAGTTGAACTTCTCACAGACAAGTGTTGTATAAATATACTGAGAACACAACATGAGAATAATACTTGTAAAACAATGACTTTTAGCTCTGTTTGTCAGCTACAGTAGCACATTTAAAAACAAATGTGAAGTTGCCATCTTTAAAATATGGAAGGAGAAACCATTTGCGTGATACGCTTGTCAGCCACTAGATGGTGGAAGATAAATACTCTGGAAAGAGACTTTAATAAGAACAATGTCATACTGTTAAGAAAAAGTTGGCCTATAATCTTTTTTCACATTATCCACAATTAATTTAATACTTTGTTTAATTTGTCAAAGTGTGAATGATATAATTTAAGGAAAGGTGCAGTTCAGAACAGTAATTTCCACTAAGCTCAGATAGCTCCTATATCTAAGTTATATATATATAACTTAGCCTACATGTGGTGATAAACGCATCAACTCACTTTAAACTAAACACAAGAAAATGCTCATTTTGTTGTCAAACTTAACTCAACAATTAAATTTAGTTTTGAAAGTTCAGTAGAAAGGTACAGTGTCCGTCTGGTGACATTGAGGGAAAAAAATAACTCGTGGACACGAGATAATGCATGGGAATGAGTTGTTAACTCGTTGCCACGACTTATTAATGCGTTCCCACGAGATACAATAAGTATAACAACATAATTATATATATATATATATATATATATATATATATATATATATATATATATATATATATATATATATATATATATATATATATATATATAATTATTATGAAGCAGGCGGCTCCTCCAGGCCAGGCTGAGCTGAAGACCGCCTAGACCTTTAACTCCGCTCATTCCCTTAACGCTCCAGTCAGCTGACTTTAGACGCCATTTTGTCAGCCATTTCCTACACAGATCTACTGCCAGCGTCTCTGCACAGCTCAGGACGCCTCGTCTGGCCTCAGCAGCTTCACCTGCCCGGGCTCGGTTGACTGCAGCGGACCTTGAATGCACGGTACCCCCGGGTGGATGAGAAACTAGTCCCAGAAGACTCCTCTCTCTCTGCAAGGCGGGTGGGTCCACTGGACAGAAGCGGTACAAGTCGCAGACAGCCATGGCTTTGAAGATTGTCAAAGGGAGCATCGATCGGATGTTCGACAAAAATCTCCAGGATTTAGTACGTGGCATCAGGAATCACAAGGAAGATGAGGTAAAATGAGCCCACCTGGAACACCTTAAACATCTAATTTATTTGTGCTTTTAAGTTAATTCATTTAACCATCACCGTTACACCACTAGCTAACGGCTAGCCCTGACGAGTTAGCTAGTTGTTTCAGCCACTAGCTAGCGGTGAACTGGATTGTTTATGTAGCTGGTTGGCGTTTACTTAGTGACAAACCGCTAACGCTGGCTTTGTAGCCCAATGCCAGGTGTGAATAAGGAGACACTTCAGTGACAACCGGCTAGAAGTCAGAGGGAAAAGGTGACAAATAATTATTCACACCAGGAACTTACTTCTGCAGAACTAGGACCAAACCAGGGACAGCTAGTGAATTCTGCACTGGCTTTCTGTTCGGCACAGAGCTGCTCGGACAAGCGACACAACCCTAATCCTAACCCAACTCAAAACAGCCGAAGGACATGAGGTGCTTACAAAAATGAAAATACAAAAGAAAAAGACCCGTTAACTTACAAGACAGATAATGACAGTAACAGTCAGCTGTCACATGAAAGTATAAAAAAAGTTGATTACAGAGTGGATAACTTGGAGTGTGTTTCTCCAGCGGTATCAAAGATATTGGATTGGATTGTTCAGAAAGTGTTTAATTTTACAAAGTCGCGTTTCTTGTTCTGCTAGTTTGTCACATCTGTCTGTGATCAGCTGATTTAGCAGAAAGTGTTCCGTTATGCTGATGAATTTATGATTTACTGACTGAAATAAGTGTGAAATAGTCCATTGTAATGAGTCTGGATAGTGTATAAAATGAGTTAAGCAATCTTCTCACCAGTGACCGATGAATTATGATACCCAGTTATGTGTGCAGTCATGTTTCCTGCCTTACCTCAACCTGCTTTTTAATGAAAGAGCAAAAATACCGTATTAGTAAAGGAGGATTTTAAGTAAAGTCCCTGGGTTGCATTGTTGCACATACCTGCTGCAACCGGCTCCAATCCACACATTTTTGACCATCTTGCTCTATAATGATTTTTTTTGTGTGTGTAGAGGTAAAACCAGCAGATCATACTTCCTAAAATCTTTATTGGAATTTTGGAATAGAAAATCCAGCTCCTAGACCACACGGTTGTTTAAGACTCTTGATCTTTGATTCTGTGTCTGTTGCTCCTAGTCTCACGGTAACCTAACCAGGGCCATCTAGATAAAGTGCTGGTTGCCCAGTCAACAGTGGACAGCCTGCTGAAATATTAATACTCTGTGTGCGTACTCATGAGTGCGTCTTGCCCCTTTTTTTTTAAGTCAGCCCACATCTTTTTCACATGGAAGCAGAATATTTGCACTGCTCATTCATTCCTCAGCGCTTCCATGCTCTGAAACAGAGGGAGTATTGAGGAAACGTGTGAGGATGTCCTCCAATGGTTGCTCCTCGGAGTGTTTGGAAGCTGTTTGTCAGTGTTGTTTGTGAAAATGAATATTGCACAAGTTATGATCAAATATCCTCCAGCTCTATAGATTATCTCCAACTCAGTCTATGTTGCTGCCCCTGTTGGCTTCCCATCAACTTTTTGAGTTATTTGGTGGATTCGGAGTCAGTAGTTGAAGGAGAGCATTTTCAGTCTCCTGCCAGCTTTCTACCACAGCAAACCAAAGTTTCTTGTGGAGCTGCTGCTGTAGTTCTCCACCCCACCTCCTCTTGTCACTGTGCTGTCTCATGACTGCGCACACATGACCGGCACACTCTATATGTGTTTGTTTTAATATGCTGCTCCTCTCAGCTCAACAATGGTTGACTGATTTATTTTTTTTGCATTAAAAGGCCTGGCTCGTCTCACTCCCCCAGTGCTGAATAAAACAAGCTGACTGCTCTAGATTTCTCCAAAAATATTCAGTTATAGCTGTAGAAGTAAGGGCAGAAAGGTCAAAGATGCTTGAGCTTTAACGTTTGCACATTATCCTGCTCCATTTCTTACTTCTATGTTATTTTTTTGTGTGTGTATTTAATCATTTCACCAGCACATTTTTGGACAGCATTTATTTATTTGTTTACATGCAGGCCCATCCTCCTCCCTAGATCTATGACAGCAGTGATAGTAGAAGCGTTAGCTGATGAAAACAGGTTTAATTAGATCAAGCTTGTTCAGTTAATTCTATTTTTGTCAGCTAGATGGCAGACAGCAGTGCTGCTGGGGTTTGCTGGCTTTTCATTTTGTTTTTTCCTAAAAACGCTCTCCTGACATTACTCTACCTAATCTAATCTGGTGTCTGCTTTGTCCTCTGTCTGTCCTCAGGCCAAATACATCTCCACGTGCATTGATGAGATCAAACAGGAGCTCAAGCAGGACAACATCGCTGTCAAAGCCAATGCTGTGTGCAAGCTCACCTATGTGAGAGCCCCCCCCCCCACACACACACACACAAGCAGAAGCTCTGGCTTTGTCACATCTGCTCTTTACTGTTTGTTTAACCCCACTGTGGGCCCTCTGGTAGAATGATTGGTCAGGTTAAAGTGCACATCACAATCTTCAAGATAGTTGCAGACGTGATCTTTTTGGATCAATAGCTTTTCGTCAAACTGCTGTTGAATCACAATTTAAAAATGGCCGTCCTCATCCTGAAAGGAGTAGAACATTTATCTGTGCTTTCTGTTAGACATACACTATTGATGCACTAAGACTTTTTCTGACTCAAATTGGATAGAGTTGCGTTGCGCATTTTATTTTATAGAAGTTTTACCAAGAAAACAAACCCTGTAACTTGGTGAACATTGGAGCAAATTAGTCACTTGTAATGAAGAATAAAAGTGCTAATTCTTGAAACAACACAGTTGAGTCTGACAAAGAAACACTGTCAAATGAAGTGTTTGTGGTGAAGTTTCTGCTGGTTATAAAGAGGTTTTTAAAATCTACATTCAGTTATTGAGCTTCCAGCTAACATCTGTTAGTTTCTCAGTGTTTTTGACATTATTTACAGTGTGGCTCGTTTGTGTTACAGCTTCAGATGCTGGGCTATGATGTCAGCTGGGCAGCGTTCAACATTGTTGAAGTCATGAGCTCCTCGAAGTTCACATACAAGGTATAACTGCCCGTGCACCAGCTGATCGTGTTAATGAAAACCAGCTGCTGCAGACCGATGATAATGTTTCTGTTATTTTATAACAAAGTGCATTTGTCTTTCCTGCTCGGGTTTTCTTCTTGCAGAGGATCGGTTACTTAGCAGCCTCACAGTGCTTCCATGAGAGCACTGATGTCATCATGCTGACGACCAATCAAATCCGAAAGGTCGGTGATGCACTTGTTTGGTGCAGCCTATGAATACCTTTCTACCTTTTTGTCCTACTTTTATTTATTGACTTTTCCATTTTTCTCTTAGGATCTCAGTAGTCCCAACCAGTATGATACAGGTGTTGCTCTGACTGGGCTCTCTTGTTTTGTGACTCCTGATCTGGCTCGAGATCTTGCTAATGACATCATGACACTGGTGAGTCATGCAGGAAATGTCGAGTTTATCCACATAACCAGTTTTTCTTTTCCTCCATGGTCTTCAATTCTTTTCTAGGCTCACAGATGAAATGTGAACATTTTTGCATTTGGAACACAACTGGTTCTTATTTTGGCTGTTTTTGTTTTCCACTTTAGATGTCCCACACTAAACCTTACATTAGGAAGAAAGCTGTGCTTATCATGTATAAGGTGTTTTTGAAGTACCCAGAATCCCTGCGCCCTGCTTTTCCAAGGCTCAAAGAGAAACTGGAGGATCCAGATCCAGGTGTGTTACAGTGTTTTTGTCATTTGAGGCAAATCTGAAACTGCAGAAGCTTTTTTGTGAGTTTTATTTTCTGTCTTCTAAATCCCATAAAGTATTCAGCAAGAGAAAATGATATATGGCGGCTGTGATACTGCAATGCTGTTTTGTTGTTGTTTTAAACTGAAAGGAATTCCCTTATGAGTATCTAGCTTGGCAAGAGAAATGTACAACATCCTGCATTAGCTTCTGATGGAAAATAGATGGTGAATCTCTTGGATTAGAAAATCCAGACAGATCTACGTCACACTGTAGATTAGCATTCATGGACTCACCCATCTTGACTTGTGACGGAGAAGGCTGTTGTTGGTTTAGCATCCAGGAAACAACAGAGAACATCATCATCATCCTTTATTTATAAAGCACGTTTAAACAGCGACTACGCCAACCGAAGTGCTGTACAAGACGATAGGACACCAAACTAGAAGACAGCAGCGTAAAATAGATAAAAACACTTAAAAACTTAAGTTACAGATCACCAAACTAGAAAACAGCGGCGTCATTAGATAAAAATAAGTAAAAAAGTAAAATAACAGACAAACTTAAGGGTAAAACAATCTCAGCTGGGTAAGCCAGGTAATAAAAATATGTCTTCAGATGTACTTTAAAAGTTGGAAGGCAAGTCGGACCGTCAGGGGGAATTGTTTCCAAAGCTTAGGGGCACAAACTGAAAAAGCCCGTTCGCCACGTGCCCTATCGCGAGCTGGAGGGACGAGCAGAAGGTGCTGGTCAGAGGACCTCAAGGTTCGCACCGGAACATAGGGGCTTAAAAGCTGCGCCAAATAAAAGGGTGCCATTTCATGCAAAGATTTATACACCAGCAGTAGAATTTTAAACTTAATCCGAAACTGAACAGGAAGCCAGTGCAAATTTGCTAAAACAGGTGAGATGTGTTGCCATCGGTCTGTGTTTGTTAGAAACCTCGCTGCAGCATTCTGTACCGATTGGGAGGCGTACCATTGAAAAGAGGATGGAACCCCATATAACAGAGAGTTAGCATAGTCCAAACGTGAAGTTACAAAAGCATGAACAACTGTGTGGAGATCTCTCTTGTTAAGGACCGATTTTAATTTAGTCAGCCGGCAAAAATGAAAGAAACACGACCTGACCATCTGGTTTATCTGTGTATCCATTTTAAAATTGGCGTCCAGTATGACCCCCAAACTTTTAATTGCCGACTTCAGAAAAACTGACAAAGAATGAGGCAGAGATGGCTCCACAGCAGAGGGGGAGCAGGGGGCAAAAAAAAAAAAAAAGCCTCCAGTTTGGAGCTGTTCAGATGGAGGAAATTGGCAGAAAGCCATGACTTGATTTCATTCAGGCAGTCAGTCAGTGGTTGCACAGGGTCAGCCGCTTTAAGAGCCACATACAGTTGGCAGTCGTCAGCATAGAGATGATTATTCACCCCGAATTTTCTGAAAATAGCTGCCAAAGGTAAAATATATAGATTAAAAAGAAGCGGACCTAAAAGCTAGTAGAACCTAACCGTTAGCATTAGCAACGTCAACACATGGCAGAAGCTCCTTCAGGCTTGTGTTATTTGGAGATAAACGGTTCACCAGTATACACCCCCCAGTGCAATTTACAAAACATTCATTCCTACTAGACTCCTGCAAATGTATTGATTAAATGAGTTTTCCACACCTTTAAAAACAAGAATATTTCTATTGACCTGTTTTGATCAGTTAGCAACTATTACATAAGATGTGCATTTTGTTTTTTTGCCGTTTCACATAGATTTTATGTTTATGTGTTTAAATGGTTTGTTTTTTAAAATGGAAACCCTTCCCTAAAAAGCGTTTGTTCTTTTTCGTTCTTAGGTGTCCAGTCAGCAGCTGTAAATGTTATCTGTGAGCTGGCTAGGAGAAATCCTAAGAACTACCTGTCTCTGGCCCCACTTTTCTTCAAACTTATGACTTCCTCTACTAATAATTGGGTTCTCATTAAGATCATCAAGCTGGTAAGTCAGCAGGTTATTTGAAAGTAGAAAAAAAAAACACTTCATAATTTCAAAGTAGTAATAATATGTAGTCAGGTTTTCCAAAAGGATCACGTCTCTGTTTTTACAGTTTGGTGCACTCACTCCTCTGGAGCCAAGGTTGGGGAAGAAGCTTATCGAACCTTTGACTAACCTGATCCACAGGTGAGCTGAAATACTCCATTAGATTTTTTGATAGATTGTCTCATGGAATGAATAAACTAATAATAATTTCTATTTTCTTTGTTTTGTACCCGGTTTTCCTTTCTCACAGCACTTCTGCCATGTCTCTGCTGTATGAATGTGTCAACACTGTAATTGCAGGTTAGTTTTAATTTCTGCTACATGGTAGAAATTCGATCTGAACGTTAACTGGCTTCTTAAAGATTCATAGAAATAGTCAGTTTTCTATAGATTAGAAAAGGATTTATTTGTTTTTCTCTCAAATTCTACATCATCTTTCTGCTATAACACTGGTTTGTTTTTCATGGCTAATTGCCTTCTTGTTCTTCATTACAGTGCTGATTTCTTTGTCCTCTGGGATGCCGAACCACAGTGCTAGTATCCAGGTAGGCCTTCAACTTTCTGTCCTCCGTCTTTAATACGAATAAAATGCTTGTTATGACCCGCCTCCTCTCCAGTTGAGTCATAATGCAGGCTGTCACAGTCTGATTAAGACACATCTTACATAGAAAGGATGCTGCTGTCGAACATGCAAGGAAGACCTTTCTTCTTCTGTCAGCTCTACAGAAAATAAAGCTATTCTGAGCTGAATAAGCATTTTGGCTTTCATGTAGGATGCAGGTTATATTTTACTGTGGAGGTATGATGCAAAGCAGACAGATGGATACAAGCGTGAATCACCCGTTAGAAGTAGCTAGAGGATAGTTTCCTCTAGCTGCAGGCTTTGATGTGTATGAAACTGTTACACTGGATGAAAGCCCTGGCATTATTTTTACGGATGAAGAGGAAAAATAGATGAGCAGCAGCTAAGAGGATCTGGTTCATTATATCTGCAGGATTTAAAAAACATTTCTTTGCAGCTTTGGCCTCATCAATGAGCTGCACCCTTATCAGAGAGTCTGATTGAGACTGAGTTGAGAGGAATGTGACAGCCTGTTGGTTTGTCATCTCTTGCTCCAAAACTCTTATAGAATCCCAGGGATGAACCCACAGTAGTCGATAGACAAACACATCTCGGATATGTCGAGGTATTATCACCAAAACCTGTTTGTGTTTAAATTTCATTCTTTGTGCGACGATTGCTGTTGCAGAAGACTTAAGACATAAAAACAGTTCACACTGCAACCTATATAAAATCAGCCTAAGGCCTCATTTCTGTTCTCTGAGATGCTTCATTTTTGTTCTTATGTGTTCTCTTATGACAGAGCAGAAACTGGTATGGAAAGGTTAACAGTTGTGTTGATGGCTCTTCCCTCCTGCTGTTTCTCTCCCACAGCTCTGTGTGCAGAAACTGCGAATCCTGATTGAAGACTCGGACCAGAACTGTGAGCCCTCTGTCAATGCCTGCAGTGTGTCATTTTCTCATTGTCTGTTTCTGACTGGAACAGTCCATCCTTGTAGACAACACCGTAGACCCCTCATTCTGGATAACTCGATCCTTACTGCTGTTTTCGCTCAATTAAGAAGGCCAGCTTGGAATACTTGTGTAGCATCCACCTCTTCCTCCAGAAAGCCTGCTGAGTGAGGGTGGAAATAAACAACTTTCTGTGGTTTATCCCAGGTTGTTGCTTCCATCTGTTGGGTTTAGACCCAATCAGTAATTAACCCTATTGGTTTATTGAGCCATTCGAGTTATCTGGACCTCCGTTCATAGATAGCTGTGTGTGTGGTGTAGACAGCAGACTGCTAGTATCTGTAGGTCTAGCTGCTGACACTTTGGTTTTATCCTTTTACTGGACCTCTTGTTGGGTTTTACAAGATTTTTAAACCACCTTGAAAATCGGTTCTCCGTTAGAATCAGACACCACTTTGGTATGAACAGCATCAGTCTGCAAAGCCTGTGGAAAACCAACCTACTGAACTGATCAGGGGGAGTAAATATGTTTAGCCAAAACAGTTCAAATGTTTCCAGTTTTAGGGAGGACATAAGTTCATTTTTCTCTGTTATTGAGCTCAGTTTTCGCAGCTTATTGGTTGGTGTCAAACCAGCGGCCTCCTGCACATTGACTCAGATTACACACCCTTTCTTTCAGCAGGCCCTGACCGTGAGAGAATCACCTTTTTACGTTTGTGTAGCAAAACTAGTGAGAGAGCAAGAGTCAAACTGGACCTCTGGTCTCTAGAGGTCCAAAGCCGCTTTAGTGAATCAACTAAACAAGCTAGGTTTTGAACGCAAACACGGTTGCAGAACACTCACCCCTCCCCTCGGGTATCTTCCCTGAGATGATTCTGCCTGAACTGAACACCCTCATTTCAAGAGGAAACGAGATAGCACTAAACACCAGTCACGGTTTTCTAGGTCCAAACGCCTTTTGTTGTCTGCGACTTCAAATGTTGATTTTCTTTTTGGGACTTTGGTAGTTTGTCCTAAAGTTGAAGTGATAGCAGCTGGCTATTTCTCCTTCTTTGAGAACCTCTCACACCAGTGGTGTTCTGTTGCTAAATATGTGAGTGTGTGATGAGTGGAGGACCGAAGCACACACGGAAGTGTGGCGGTTCGACCAGACCGACACCCGGGTGGTCCAAAGGTTACTTTCTGTCCGAAAAGTGTTATTGGTGGAGGTTTTTAGACAAAAACAAGGGCACCACTTTATTATTATTATTATTATTATTATTATTATTATTATTATTATTATTAATCTCCAAAATATATTTATGGCTATACTATGTTGGAATGTTGTAAAGGGGCATGAAACAATGTTTAACCTTCCCACTGTCCTAATGGGTGTGACCCCGCAAGGAAAGTTGACCATTGAGTAGGGTTGATGGTTTATCCCTTGGGTCCATGGGGCAGGGATGAGGAGTGAAGGTGGGGAGAGTTTGTTACTTGACCCTCAAGGTCAGTGCTGCACACGTTTATTGACTCAGGAACCTGAGAGGCATTGTAGATAAAACAATAGAGGTAACACCACACTTGAGCAGAGTTTCAGAAATGAAAACGAGGATAAAAAGAAAATACTTTGTCGTGTGTGTCTGTGTGTGTGTGTCTTTTCCATTGTTTTGTGTTTCTTTGATTTCCCTTCATGTACTTTATAGATCCACTCATAGTTAGTATAGAAGTAGCTGCTTTTACTGTTGCTTACTGATCATTTACTGATTTTAAATGTGATGTTTCTCATTTTTTATCCATTTCTTTAGGAAACCATTGATTGCTTAAAGGTGCAGTATGGAAGAATAGAGTGAGAATTTTACAGTGAGAAAAGCCCAGGAGAGTCTAATGTTTCAGTCATTTAGGAAGGAAGGTTATACCTGAAACATGTTTCATATCCAGCTGGCTGTGGGGATTGTCAGTTTTTCTCCTTCCAAAACAAAGGAAGGGGGGACTTAACTCCTGTTTACCACCAGTGAGTGTGGGGTCGCCGTGTCTCCTGCGAGCCAATACGGCAGCGCCGACAATTGTAATTTGACGACAGCCAGCAAAAAGCTCCTGAGTTGTTTACAGTGGTTACAGTAACCAAAATTTACCACATATTTTAATTTCATTTCTACATAATGCACCTTTAAAGAACAGTTTCTCTGATCAGTTTTCCAAGTTGATCACAGTCCTGTAAAAATATTGGGATGTGTGAATGAAGGGACAGACATGGTGTTAGGCCAGTGTAGTTGGTTAAGTGAGTTAACAGATGAATGTTGTATCATTCTTTAAAGAAGATTAAAGGGTTGTTTGTTGTTCAGTTCTCTGAGGCATGTGGTATTTGTTGTATTAACACAGTGAAATATCTGGGCCTGCTCGCCATGTCTAAGATTCTGAAGACTCACCCCAAGTCAGTGCAGTCTCATAAGGACCTGATCCTCCAGTGTCTGGATGACAAAGATGAGTCAATTCGTCTCAGAGCCTTGGACCTGCTCTATGGCATGGTACGAAACAAAATCTAAATCTCACTTTGTGCTTGGATACATGTAGGATGAAGGATGCAGGATTTTTATTGTTTCAAATGGTGCAGAATGATTGTATTTGACAAATATTTTGTGCGTAGTTTCAATTTGGCACTATGCAAGTCTAATTTAATCAACCTTTGTAGACTGAAATTCCACGTTGCTTGAACTTTCTTTAGGTGTCCAAGAAGAACTTGATGGAGATTGTAAAGAAGCTGATGCTCCACGTAGACAAAGCAGAAGGAACCACCTACAGGGACGAACTGCTCACAAAGATCATTGACATTTGCAGCCAAAGCAACTATCAATACATCACAAACTTTGAATGGTTGGATTTGCTCTTGAACCTCATAAAACCACATTTCTGTCTTCTGCTTCACACGAAGATGTGTTGAACACTCGTCTCTTCGTGTCTGCCTGGCAGGTACATCAGCATTCTGGTGGAGCTGACCCGATTGGAAGGCACACGGCATGGCCACCTCATCGCCTCTCAGATGCTGGATGTTGCTATACGGGTCAAGGCCATCCGAGTCTTTGCTGTTGCTCAGATGGCGACTCTGCTGGACAACGCCCACATGCTGACTGGCAACACGCAGCGAAACGGCATCTGTGAGGTTCTGTATGCTGCAGCCTGGATCTGTGGAGAATTCTCAGAGTAAGTACACTTTTCTTCATCCTTTTCTGTAAGTTTGGTTAAAATATCTAATTTTTGTTGCTTTAGTGGAAATGACAGTACAGATTTTATTTTGTGATTTTCTCAGACACCTGGAGAACCCAATGGAGACGTTGGAGGCCATGCTGAGGCCCAAGGTAGCCACACTACCAGGCCACATCCAGGCTGTGTATGTACAGAATGCAGCTAAGCTGTTTGCCACTGTGCTGAAGAGTCAGGAGGGAAACACAGACAGCACTACTGCACAGGAAGCCAGTCAGCTAATGATTGACAGGCTACCGCTGTTTGTTCAGAGCGCTAACCTGGAGGTGCAGGAGCGGGTAAGAGCAAACGAGTCACACCAAGAAAACATTATTGTGCTTTAAGATAGTCAGGATCCCAATGCTAACTCAAACTCAGCAAAGTAACGGCAATCTAAACCGGCTCGCCGTCTTTCTTCAGGCGTCTTGCATCCTGCAGTTGGTCAAGTACATCCAGAAGCTTCAGCAGAAGGATGTGGAAGTGTCAGAGGAAGTCTGTGCTCTGTTTGCTGGAGAACTCAACCCTGTAGCTCCAAAGGCACAGAAAAAAGTACCTATTCCTGACGGGTGAGTTCATCTACCACATGTACTCTTTGTAAGATTCAAAACAAACATTGCTGGTTATTTTGGTTCATGTTTCTAGTTTAAAACTTAAGGGAATAACTGAAACGTCTGTGAATCCATGTCTGTTTGAATGCTGACCAGTGTGATGCACACGTGTTTGTATGTTTATGAAGCCTGGACCTGGACGCTTGGATTAATGAGCCGCCATCTGAAAGTGAGTCTGAAGATGAGCAACCAAAGGCAATTTTTTCAAAGGAGGAGCCGAAACACTCTCGTCCCCGTCACACAGAGGTGGACGAGAAAGAGCTGGCGAGGGTACGCACTCATGAAGCCGCCGTTTAATTTAAAAAGTGAATTTACTTTAAAAAAAAAACCTGGTTGTGTGATCTGTTCTTTGATTTATTTAGCCTTATTAGTAACCTTTCCACCTACTTTGTAGCATCTTATTTCACCTGAACCATTTGGGTGATTCAGATTAAACAAAAACATTAGACATGTGTTTGAAAATGTTACCAATCTCTTGTAGTCGTCATTTCAGCAAATCATATGGATCTTCTCAGAGTTTAATGTGATTAATCCAGCTTTTGATGTGCATCCATTCTCATGCTTAAACTGGTGTTATTCATTGATTATTCCATGCTGCTGTTTGCGTACTTCCTTGTTCCCAGAGGAGAGAAGCCAGAAAACAGGAGCAAGCCAACAATCCGTTCTACATCAAGGCCTCTCCGTCTTCTCAAAAGGTCTGGCTACCATCTTTCGCTAATGTTATAGTTATGGCAGCACTTTACAAAAAGCAGTAGTGTACTAAATGTAGACTGCACAGTTATAGTGTTCTTCTGTGTAGGTGTATCAGGAGACTCCTGGAGTGGAACACATCCCAGTTGTGCAGATTGACCTCAGTGTGCCTCTCAAAGTCCCAGGTAGCACATGTCATCCTCTCAGTAACACACACAACACCCTTTTCAAGTGGTTTAATGTACTGCAGTATTGCATGATGATGTGTAGCTTGACCGCACATCCATCATTCACTTTCCAAACAATTTTGTCCCCGTTTGCCTCAGGTCTGCCTATGTCCGACCAGTATGTGAAGCTGGAAGAGGAGCGTCGTCAGAAGGAGAGGGCAGAGAAAAAGAAGAAGGATAAGAAGAAGAGGAAAGAAAAGCGCAGCGGACGAGGGAAGAAACATGACTCCGGTCCGGAGAGTGAGGAGGACATCACACCTGCTCACATGGTCGACATTGTAACAGAGGAGATGCCAGAGGTAGGCTCACTGTGACTTTAAAGGATAATGTTCAAACAAGCCCCAGTTACACAGAAACACAGTCAGGATTCACATTAGGATCCATAAGAGATTTTAACTTCATTTGGGTTTATTTGTTGCATTTATATATTTTTTTTGGCTGATGCATTATTGTCTTTAAAGAGCAAGTTACCCCCCATCAGATTCTAATGCCTTTTTCATTCCAAATGTAGAATAGGTGCAGTCCAGCTCCCTTTCAGTTGATTCACTCGGTACAACACATATAGTATGGGATATCACGCCCTCGCGTGGTCTGCGTTCCAGCGTTGAGCGCTTAAGCTGGCTGCAGAATGAGCATGCGTCCGGCTCTTGTCAACGCTCTCCTGGCTTGGACAATACCGAGACAAACAGGGCAAGCTTCATGTAAATCCTTGTCGTGAAGCCACAGCCCTGTGGGCAGGGTCGTATAGTGGACTTCTTCTTCTGTGGGTCAGACCTGGTGCTCATTCCGAACCACGAGGTCCAACAGCGTAGGTGTTAGCGAGGTTAAACGGTGCTAGCGCTCGGCGAGTAGGCACACTTACCAGCAGGCAGCGGTCTAGTTCGACACGAACAGTTAAGCTAGCTCCAAAAAACAGCGGAGAAGAGTGCTAGCTAGCACAGGTTGATTGGGAGGTGTTCCAGGGAGGTGAAGAGCGTAAGAACTGGAACATGATGTGTGAATAAGGGTATTTATAAGCAGATGGACCCTGCCCCCTATGTCACATGTCATGTGGCTTAAAGGCGTGATTAAAGGTGTCTTCAGTCAGACCATGCGAAGGCGTGATATCCTATACTATATGTGTTGTACCTCGTTCCTCTCCTTCAGGGAACGGTAGTTATATGCATAACTTAACGTTTCTGGATGGCTTCCACATAGATCAGAAATCATTTAGTCCAATCAGAGCATTCACACTGGCTGTGGTGTGGTATGAATGTGGAGCTCCAGAAAACTTGAGATGACGTCACATGGTACCGCTTATCCAATAACGATGGCTGATCCAAATTCAAACAGAGCAGACCTTTAAGCTGAAGAGGGCGGTACACTGACAGTCTTGGGCTGAATATTAAATAAGATGCTCTAAAATGCCAGAAATAAAGACTACACATGACTATTAGACACTTGTTTATAGTTTAACAGCAGAAGCAATAGCTTTGGGGTGACTTGTTGTTTAAAAGGCATTTTTATTTGAAAGTTTTTAGAAAGTCAGTGACCTTCGTCATTTAGTTTTGGCAAAATCATTTAATTTTATTAAAACCTAATATGATCTTTCTTTTTTGGATTCCTCACATCAAAGTTCGGAAGTCAGTGAACTAATATAGTAATTAATGAGCAAGTTATTTCCTGTTTTGTTGTGATTTCTGGTTGCATCAGAATGCCTTACCCAGCGATGATGATGAAAGAGATCCCGCTGACCCACACAAAGCTCTGGATATCGACCTGGACAAGTGAGTTTACATCATATTTATCCCACTTCTGCATGAGATCAGATTTTAATACATTTTGTTAAATTTCTAAAAACAATAAGAACCAAGTAAAGCTTTTATTCAAATACGGAGTCCAAAATTAGATAGGATCAATTGTTTTCACTTTATTTTATGTGGTTTTATTTTGTTTTGATCACAAATCCTGATTACAGGACCTTTGTAAATTTTTGAGGCAGTTTGAATATTTTTTATTTTCCTCTATTGACACTTCTTTTGAAATGGCCAGATTTAATCTGGTCCATTTTGATCCCCCCAAGATGTTTCAAGATGCATAAAAAAGGAAAATGTGCCAAACTAGGGTCATTCATCTGAAGATGAAAGTGGTCATGGGTGATATTTTAGTCGTGATCTAATATTTATAAGTTAGTTAAAGACTTTTTAGTTTTGCGGTTTTCAGTTTTTATTTATAAAAACAAGTCTATTTTTGAAAGGATCAGAAAATCTTAAGAGCTTTCTGGCCACAGCACTGGGGTCGGTGTAGCCCAGCTCTTTTCTTCCTCATGGTCTTCTGCTTCCTCTCTTCTATGCAAACCATCACCACTGCCTCTTTGTGGTGACAGTTTGGAATCAGCTGGGAAAAGGTGAGTCGTGCCCCAGCCAGAGGACCTGACTTACTGCCTGTTTGTGTTAATACTTGCCCTTCTACTTACTGATGTGTTTCCACAGCTAGGAGCTCACACTAGTTGTTTCATCTCTGCTCTCTTCTCCCTGTAGACTCTTTATATGTAGGCTTTGCTTGTAGCTTTGGACGTGTTTTCTGTCAGCATCCATTTTCTCTGATCCTGAAGCCTTTCTTCCTCTTTTACTGTTTTGACTCTGTGCTTGATAACATCAGCACCTGTAATTCTGAACAAATGATTTAAATTGATGAGAAAATAATTAAACAATTTTGTAATAGACTGGTGCTGATATTATCAGGACTTGAATCTTTTTGCTGCTTGTCCTCTTGAATTAGCTTCCTAAAGTGTTTTGCTGCTATTTCTTTCCCCTAAAATAGGTCACAGCAAGATGTTTTTGGAAGATTCATCACTGGAGTTACAGAGCAGTTATTTGACCCACAGTTGTCAGGTCTGACTTCAGTCAGACATTCCTGACTTCTGGCGCTCTGGTGCGCTCACAGTGTGAGCACTGCAGTAACGCTCAAAGGATTTTCAGGAGACTTTTGCTATGTTTCACTTAATCTTTGCTCAGTTCTTGCACCTGACATTGATTTGCATATTCTGCTGCATTTACTTGAAATGCAAATAAATAAATAAAAATAAATTGGCTAGGCTTTTTACCTTTGCCCAACTTGACTTGCATCTGAGAAGGCTGTTGGTTTATAGTCCAGGAAACATTGGTGAACCTCTCGGCTGGTAAAAGGTAACTGTTAGCTTTAGCAACTCTACAATACGACAGAACTCCTCCAGGCTTGTGTTATTTGTGGAGATAAAACATCAACATTGCAGAGCAAATGGAGTCAGTGGTAGAGTTGCGTTGCTGTTATCCAGTCTGAGGTGAGATTTCCAAATATCGGGAAAGAAGACAGGCAATCTTCTACTTCCTGAAACAGGTGCACTGGTGTTTTTTTTTTACCCCATAGGATGACTTAAAAGGCATTCATTCCTACTAGAGACCAATGCAAGTGTATTGATTAAAGCAACTGGACGGAGTATTTCGCTTATCTGATAGCACCATCAAGTGGCCGACAAGCATATCACACAAAAATTCTGCCGATCCGTTTTAAGATGGCGACTTCACGTTTCTTGTTTCTGAATGTGCTTCTGTAGTCGACAGACAGAGCTAAAACACGTTGTTTTACAAGTATTATTCTCATGTCATGTTGTGTTTTCATATATTTATATTTTAAAGACTTGTCCGTGAAAAGTTCACCAATCAGCATCAGCCTGAAGTACTTCCTTAAATGTGAAGCATGTAAGCGGTTAGTTGGTAGTAATCGGCTAGTTCTGGTCAGTTCTCTGTTTCCTTTTGCACAGAGCTCTGTGGGGCGGGGGCGTGCTTAGCAAAAAACAAAATTGACTTATTTCTTACATTATATCACAGTACATAGTAAGACAATCACGTTTACAGATTTCTGTAAAATCGTACATAATTTCTGAAAGGGGAAAACTCTGGAAAGCTACTTTAAATGAGTGAACCACACCTTTTAAGTTTTCTGTTGTTTTTGACATCACTGGTTTGCCTGAGTTTAGGCGGCTTTGAGATGCCTGAATGATTCACCAGTTAGAATTAAAAAGCTTAAAACATTCATTAAAAAACTCAAGCACAAGGCTAGAAAATGAGTGAAGAATCAGCCAAAGGTGTCTGAAAAACTTTAAAAGAATTAATTATTTAAAAAAAATTAAAATATTTCAGATCTTCTTAAACATCATAAAGGAAGTTTGACTTCTTGGAAGCAAAATATAAAGAAATGAATGCTGACTTGGTACAAAGTAATAGATATATAGATATACACACACACACAGCACTGTCTTAATAGAGGATAGCCAGCAGAGGGACACATTGCAGCTGTTAAATCAAGATTTTGGATGTTAAAGCTCTTCATTTCAAAATGGAGGAATGTTTTGGGCTGGTTGCCTGTCTCTGATGCCTGGAACAATGGTAGAAAAGTGCTTTGACTGAAACTTGCCTGCTTTTAATTTTGAGCAGCTTTGCTTGAGTATGTCTGACAGCTGCACCTGACCAGCCTTGTTCAGCTTTTGGAACAGATTCAAACAGAAAGAATGCTGAAGTTCTATTTATTAATTTTGTTAGATTAGGCTCCAAATATCAAGAGCCTTACAAGTAAACCTCTAATACATTTCTGTACCATTTCTATGTACAGGCCGCTTGCGGACAGCGAGAAGCTGCCAGTCAGGTCTCATCGTGCTGCAGAGGTTCTGAAAAGCCCAGCAGAAGATGAAGAGGGAGAAAATGTTTCTTCACTGGAACCCAAAAAGAAGAGCAGCAAAGAAAAGAGGGAAAAGAAGAAAGATAAAGACAAGGATAGGAAGGTAAAGATGCTGTTTGAGTCAGGATTATCTGAAGCTGTTTCCTCGTGAATCGGATCAAAGAGCCGTCGACTGCTGTGATGACTGAGCTTTTGTCAGGTTCTGACTGACATGAAGAAATCTGTTATATTTTTCTCTTTAACAGAAGAGCAAAGAAGAGAAAAAGAAGAAAAAACACAAACATGAAGAAAAGGAGGAGGAGGATCTTCTCTGTGGTCAGGCAGATGAGCCTGCGTTCCAGTCAGAAGAAACCAATGAAGTGGTGACTCCTCCCACATCCACCTCTGCTGATGTATGCCTCTGTAACATGTTTAGTATCTAGTATTTCCTTTTGTTTACCATTTAGATTGATACAAATGAGTCCTACTGTTTGCTCTTTAAAGAGTTTAGACAAAAGCAGAAATGTTTGATTTGACTCAGCACTTCCATTGCTGCTTCCCGGTCAGCTCCTGTGATCACGCATCAGTTTCCTCGTAGCCAACCATGCAGTCTCTCTCCAAATACCTGATTTACTCATGAAATAGTGCAGTGTAATCTCTGTCTGTAGTAAGATGCAGAAGTTGTTTGCGCCCCCGCCCCTCTCACCTCCTGCCACTCCTCTCCCTCCCTTCCTCTCCTAGGTTTCGGACCTGGATTTCTGGCTCTCAAACGCTCCAGTGCCCTCTAACACCCAGGTGGAGTCGCCCCCACCCCCCCTTTTCTCTCTTCATCATGCTGTGTTTCATAAACTTCCATCAGTCATTAGATCTACTCTACACTGTTTCTGAGATCTTTGGATAAGCATCACCTTTTTATTTCTCATCTTGGGCGCCTTTTTGACTCCTTACTTTTTGAGGTCACAGAACACTGTTTCGTCTACTTTTCATGGGTCTCTGTCTTCTAGCATGCAGTTGTGTGCATACATATTGTTAGTGTTGTACATTACCAGTTCTTGGTTTTTGCTTTGCTTGATGGGTCTTGTGATGGTTTTGAAGTTGTAGTTAAAGTAAGTCGGTGGTGTGCTTTCATTGCTGGAACTTCAGGGTAAATTCTGGGATGGGAAATTTGACTGGAAGATACGGTGTCCCGGTCCTCTCAGCTGTTGTGTCTCCATTCAAATTAAGCCCTTTTAGGACTTGCACAGGCGTCTGCATATTGCAACTGCTTTTGCAGTAAGTGAAGTAACTGATTCGTGCCAGAAAGCATCCACAGTAACATTAATAGTAAAAGCATTTATTCTGTCAAAGTATATCATAATTGAATCCATTCAGAGGACCAGAGCAACTGTGTGATGTAAAACATGGCATTCAAGACCAGAAGAAGCTCTGTTGTTGACGGTGCTCTGTGAGACAACAAAGCCGTGAGAATTAAGTTTTTGGGAGTAATTTCCCCGTTTTTCTGGTGTCAGGAGTTTAATTTACTAAGGCTGGCTGTTTTGGACAACGTCTGATGTAATTTCCTACTGAGTTATAACCAATCAGCATGAGTTAATCAAAAGTTCTGCTCAGCTACTCCACCGGGCCTTTCCGAGTATCTACCCCACTCAGGTACTTCGAACGTTCCTGAAAATGGCTGTTCAGCTGGCCTGGTCAAGTGGAGACACACGTCGGGAAGTTCCTATAAATATACCCCGAAGTTCCGATAATGGAAACGGGCATAAATTTGCTTAAATCTGTTTTGACTCACCCACCGCTAAAAGGTGAAAGTCATTCATTTCTGTGTACATTTGTCAGTAGTTAGTATTCAGTAGTCTGTAGTAGCAAAATACCTTATTAAACACTTACTGATTATAATGAATGCACTTCATCTACAGGAGTCAGTTCAGTTCAAAATGACCTCAACTAAAGACAAAATATAAGAGTAATCTAATGATTTCAGAGGAGTTACGAGACCCCTGTTGACCTTTTTAGGACGGCACATTTTATGATACTTTTACATCAAGAAATTAGCTTTTTATCTTCATCTCTTTTCTGTGCGAAAGTTAAACATATCGTGCTTGAAATATAAGTCTGCTTTTGACACACGAGGGATCTAAAAGTGCTCTTTCATCTTTAGTCTTCGTGTGAGGAGAAGTGTTCAGTGAAACCAGGTCTGTTAGATGGGTGTGTGTGTGTTTTATCTTTGAAGCTATCAGCCCCGAAGTGGAAGCTGGTCCAGAAACACGCTTCAGCCTGGTTTATATAGAAGACTTGTTTTCGTGTTGGCTGTCACACTTGAGTTATCGCCGTCACAAAGAATCTCGCACACCAGGATTTAGTTTTGGAGCAGCCGTTTGTGTTGGTTTGTTGGATGTGCTTAGTGTTTAACGCATCGTCATTTTTGTTGGTGTGCCACTGGTGGCATTTTTGTTGGGACTCTTAACCTTTCTTCCCTCTCTCAACACAGAAGTGGAGAACAAAGCTGGTGTGGTCATGTTTGCTAATTCTTTTAATTTGGTGTTTTGTGTATGTGTGTGTTGCCTGTTTGTGTGAGAGCAGGAAGCGGCAACGGTAGCAGCAGCAGAAGCAGCTCCAGCGCCTGGGGCTATCTCTGTCACAACACCAGACTCGGAGCCTGAAGAACCCAAAGACACTGAAATGGAGGAGACGGTGAGTCACTGCCAATAATGTGATAATTGCTAAGTTTGGCCACAGTGCTTGAGATTCCAGTTCACAAAGGCCTGACAAGATGCAGCACATTGACAGTTCTCATTCTCACAAGTTTGTGTAAATGACCTGCCATCTTTCTACAACTTTCTCTGGTCTTGAGAGGAGATTTTCAATCACTTTGAAATTTTAGTCAGTTAAAACAACACTTAAGTTTCCTGCTTCTCCGTCCGCCTGGTTTAAAGCATAATTACAACTGCCGTGAGCGGTCCTGCCACAGCCTGCTGTGGCTAGTGCTACACTTTTATTTGGTCGATGAACTGAAAGAGCTAACGAATGGCCTTTATCGAGCTACCGTCATAGCAAACAGCTGTTGCCATAAAGCAAGTAGAGACCTCCCTCTAGTGTTCCTACTTGAACCACAAAACTGTAAGGTGCAGTTTCTGATCAGCAGAGAGCTGTACAACTGGAAGTTGTTTAAATGTCAGCCTCAAGAACCACTGAAACCAGTTTCAAAGCAATAGCGTGAAGTGTCAAAGTCTTCAGTGTTTAAACATATTGTTGATGTTTTACAGATTTCTAAAAGTATTTTTCTTTGCTCCTGTTGTGGGGTTTAGAAGTCATCCAAACACAAGAAGAAGAAGCAGAAAAGGGAAAAGGAAGACAAGGAAAAGAAAAAGAAGAAGAAGCATCATCATCATCACCATCACCATGGTGACAAAGGTGGAGAGGAGTCTGTTCAGAATGGGACTGTGGAGGAAGAAGAGCCTCTCCCGGTCAGTATTAAAACATCCTAAAATGTTTTACCGATATATTTAGTTTACATTCAAAGTGTTCATCACCTCTGTTTCTACAAGCTTTGATAAACATAAACATTCAATTTTAACACACACACACACACACACACACACACACACACACACACACACACACACACACACACACACACACACACACACACACACACACACACACACACACACACACACACACACACACACACACACACACGTTAGATCATTTTGATGACACAGGCTCCTGTTGCCGGGGTGTCACACCGAGTGACTGCGAACGCCCTATCTGACCTGAGCTCTTCTCTTCTTTCAGCCCATGTCCAATTACTGCCTGCTGGCTGAGAACTCCTACATCAAGGTGGTGAGTGATGGAGATTGGGAAACTGCTGCAGAATATTCTTCTTTATTTTTCCACAACCATTTATCCTCATTTGGGTTGGAGCATTTAATTCCCCAGTTTAATTTCCAATGCATAAATGTGTCTTCATGTTTCTCCAATAGAACAGTTTCTATTTAAAAAAAGGTTTAAATTAGACACAGTCCTCTTGCATTGGAGTTAAACCTGATTCAGTTTTGGTGAATTGTTAATACAGATGGGCAAATAAACAATGAGATAAAAATGGTTTTGCTGATCAAACGAGGTGAATTATCTGTAACTTTTCACATGTTTCTCCATACAAGGTTAGTAATCACCAGGTGTGTCAAAGATGGCTATGGAGAAGGATCGGTGCCAAGTGTAGAATACAAGTAAAGTTCAGGGAAATCTTTTGTACACCATACACATGATCTGTGCTCTCGGTTTGGTAAACAGTATGCACACAACTATTTAAATGCAGTGATGTATTTATTTATTTAGTTAAATTGCCAAAACCAGAAATGTTTTAATTACCTGGATCAGTGGCTCTCGAGACGAGCAACATTGCAGAACAGACTTAACCTCAGTCCAACTATAGAAAAGTAAACCGTAATCTAATTTCCATTAAACGGAGCTGAATTTTAAGCTGGAGAAATAACAACAGCGGTGTAAATGTGCAGCAGCTGTTGGGTTGAGCTGTGTGTTTGCGTCAAAGATGGCAGCTGACCGATCTCTGGGTAACTTTACTGCTTAGGGACCATCTGCAAAGTTCAACACCTGACTTTCTTATTTCAATGACATTATTAGTAGCAACTGTAGTATCATTGATCACATGAAATATTATCAGATGTTAATGGCATTACAACTAGTGATTTATTGTTTTTTAATAAGAGAGTATTTATTTTCAGGTGCTGCTCCTTGTAAACGGTCCCAAAATTTGCTCCCTGTAATGGCGAATAACTCTTATCTGTCCAGCTTAAAATATCACTTGTTTTCACTCAAACTAGTATTTTCTGTGGTTGAAGTGAGGGGGAATTTTTGGTTCAAGAAAAAAAAATCCTGACATGTTCTCAAATTCACCAAACTTGAGATGCTCTATTTAGCAAATCCATGCACACAGATTACCAGAACAAGAGCACATGTGAAAATGTGTTAGCCTAGTTTACTAAATAAAACTGTAAACAGACGTTTCAATTTTTGACACCTGGCACTACCTGGACGTCGTAGACACATAAACATTCAACATAGAAGCAAAAATCAATCCAAATGCCTTCTTTCTTTTTGTTCTCTTTAAAGATGATGGAAGATGCTGACGAGGTATTTGTTAAAGTTCTGTCTCAGGCAGAATATTTTAAACACTCTTTGATAGATGTGCTTTTCTCTGTCCTTGTTCTTTTTACAGGCTGTCCTCTGAGGCAGATTACACGAATGCCTCTGTAGCACAGCAGTGTTTGGTCTCTTTCTGAGAAAATCTCTGTGTTTACCCCCTCGTGTTCAGCCTATTTCTAGGAATTTCTGATGTTCATCTAAAATCTTGTTTCTTGACTATTTTCTCTAACTAGACTTGGGAGAGGCGCTTAATCTCTGTGATGCTAACTTTTATTTTCCTGTTTTATTCATTTGATCGTAAGGCGTACGACATCCAGGGTAACCTGCAGGATGGCAGTCAGGTGGTTGTGTCCGTCATATTTGAGAACAAGTGTGACAGCTTCCTGAAATCCATGGAGTTCAACGTGTTGGATTCTCTGAACTCCAAGCTGCAGAGGCCAGAAGGCTCGGGCCCTCATGACAGCCTCACCATCCCCTTTCAGCTTCCTCCTGGTCAGTGACGATCCGCAGAATGTTGATGCAGTTGTTTAAGGATTGGCTGCTGTGTGTGTTAGCTTTATTTATAACGTCTCATTGGAAATGAAGGTTGAGTCGCCTAACATTGAGCTTTTTTTGTTGAAGGTGTGTCCAACGAGGCAAGATTTGTCTTCACTGTGCAAAGCATCATAATGCCACAGAAACTGAAGGGAACTCTGACCTTCATTGTAAAGGTCTGTAGTAAAATGCACAATTAAACACAAAAATGCATTTAATGTAAATGATTTTGGAGTTATTGATCAAACCACATTGCTTCACTAATGTTTTGCAAACATAGCTTTAGATTTTGATTCTTTTTCAGGATTTCTAAATGCTTAGATATTAATTTCAATAGGATGATGGTCTAAAGTTTCCAACCTAGACATGTCCCACTGAAGGATATATTCTGGCCTATGCAATGCCAACTTATTTCAAAATTTTTCTAGATCATTGTGTGCAGTTAAAAAAAAACACTTGCCTAGTTTTAAAAGTCCAAGAATCAGCAGCTGTTGGGCATTTAGCCATTTTTGGTCAATCAGCTGATCAGGTAGTATTGTTTAAAAGGTGTGGTTCTCTGAAAACCCATTTTTTATGATTATTTCTGATTATAATCAGTCATTCTTTCAAGCAGACCGAACATTAAAAAAGTGTCTTACATGTATCTCCTGCATTATAGAACATAGAAGGTGAAAATTTAGGATTTGAAAATTAGGGATGGGTATCTTTGACATTTGAATCGATCCGGTACTAATTCTCGGTACCTAAGAATCGATACCGGTACTTAACGGTACCAATTTTCAATACTTTTGAGTGTTTATTATTTTAATTCTCTTTTATAATTAAATATATATTTTCTCAATATATAACCATATTTGATAAATATCACGACAAATAACATACAACTATTTGTATTTTAACATCGTCCTTGTAGTTTTATAAGCTGATAATTAAACTGAAGCAAACATCTTTACTGTGAACTAAATTTACTGTGTATCGTCATTCCTTTTGCAGTCTTTTTCATTTGATATTTCCTACTGGAAAGTTAGAATTTCCGAGGAGAAAGCGAACGCACCATTAGCTGATAACAATGGTAGCAATGGAAGCTAACATACCAAGCTAACGTTATCTTAAACAGTTTATTTAGCTGCTGGAGCAGATTAAAACGATGATGCCTCACACTTGGATCGTTGTCACTGGTTTCGTCTTCACCCGTCACATTTAGTAAAGTGAAGCCAAACATTAGAGCGCGTTCATGTTCTTCTAGTCGGGAATTCGGAGTTCCGAGGAGAAAGTGAACGCACCATTAGCGAAACGGAAGCTAACATATCAAGCTAATTATATTTACCTACCGGAGCAGATTAAGATGAGGATGTCTCACTTAGATAGTTGTCGCTGGTTTCATCATGACCCAGTTACCCATCACATTTAGTGAAGTGGACCCAAGCTTTAGCCTACGTTCTTTCTACCATGCTGCTCTGTTTACAACTCGCTCGCAGCGACCGATGACATAACGCTCTTGCGCATGCGCAGCTGTCTAGGCAAGTTCTCGTTATGATGGACGGGTACTGAAACGAGGCACCATTTGAAATGACGTGAATCGGTGCTCGGTCGGTACTATGGAATTCGGTCGGTACCTTAAAAAGTACCGAATTCGGTACCCATCCCTATTGAAAATCCTGACAGATGTACGTCACACACTGTCACTTAGCAATTGTGGACTCACCCATCTTGACTCAGAATGGAGAAGGCTGTTTGTTTGTTTAGCGTCCAGGAAACGGCAGAGAACGGCTTGACTAGTCGAAGCTCATCATTAGCATTAGCAACTCCACCACATGGCAGAAGCTCCTCCAGGCTTGTGTTATAAAACATGAACATTACAAGTCAGTGTCAGTCTCATTGCTGTTATCCAGTCTGAGGCGAGATGTCCAAATATCAGAAAGTAGGACTCCAAATCCTGCCCTCTGAAGCTCAGCTGTGATGCGAGTAACTGTTAGTTCCTTGAAAATGGTGCACTGGGATAACTATTACTATTACTATTAACAAGGCTTTCATTCCTACTAAGGACTACTGCAAATGTATTGGTTAAACAAGCTAACAACTCCTTTAAGCAAATATGTCCTAACACTTTGTTAATTGGACAGAAACAAATGTAGAGTAGTGGGACATTTGGCAAGACTGGAGATTGTAACCACCCCCTCATGCTGATTGGTCTTTTTTTTGTTCACCCAGATCATTCCAGATGTTTTGATAAATAAGGAAATATCTTGTTCTTTTGTTACAGAATGAAGAATCCTCCACTCATGAGAAACTGGACTTTAAACTGCACTTTACTTGCACCTCCTATCTAATCACTACTCCTTGTTACAGGTTGGTTCAATTAATTGTTAAATAGTTTTTATGGAATCTTGGTTATTTTTCTGTTTAGGTTAAACACACAAACACACACACTGGAATTTTCTAAAATTTAAAATTTAATTTAAAACCTCCATATTGGTCTCAGTCCAGGGAAAAATGCATAGTAGCTGAAGCACTGTCAGGATCATGTCAGACCAACACAGATGGCAGCACACAATCCGACATAGCTTCTGTTTTCTTGTCCACACTCAACCATCACAGTCAGACTGTTAGAAAATATTCAGCCTCGCTTTTTTCAAATTGATTCTTTTAAGGGCCAGGAGCTGTGATTTCATGTGGATGACAAGTGCAACTAGATTCTGCTGCAGCTGTCAGAACACCCAAATAGTTTAGTTATGTTGTTGCTTTAAGGGGGACAATATTTATTTTTTACCAAATAGACTAGAAACAAGTCTGCAGACCATTCAGAAAGGAAGCTGATCTATTTGACAACATGCATTTATATTTGTCACTAACTGTCGTTTGTGTTCTTTTTGTCTATACCAGTGATGCTTTTGCAAAGCTTCTGGAGTCAGGAGACTTGAAGAGCAGCTCTATCAGACTGGAAGGGGTTAACATGCCCTTTCACCATCTACTGGCCAGGATCTGCTTTCACCACCACTTCTCTGGTACAGTTTGTCTTTCTTTTAAGCAGCCTTGAAACATAATTGCACTTCAAATCTCAGAGTATGCATAGGTTATTGAGAGCCTTAATAATGACTGAATGCAGTAACTTTGAAAGAAGACAATAATCACACAATGTCCTTGTGTGGTCTTGGAGCAGTTGTGGAGAGGATCGACTCCTGTGCCTCAATGTACAGCAGGTCCATTCAGGGTCACCATGTTTGTCTGCTGGTAAAAATTGTAAGTGAACCAAAAAAACGGCCTAATTTTTCAGTTTCTATTCAGTTTATTTTTATTCAGGAAATTTGACTAAAATGTTTACACATTTGTAATATTTTATTGAAATGTGTTTTTGCTTGTTTTTGGAACCTTGATTAATGTCTATACCCAGAGTCATGGAATTAGTACTTTTGGTCATTTACGACATTATGGCTTTAACTTTACTTTCTGTTTTCCAGTCTAGTCAGACGGTGTCCGTTGACGCAAAATGTGATGAGCCGACGCTGCTTGGGAATGTGCTGGATGAGATCAAGCAGACCTTTTCTCAGTGCTGATTGTGTCTGACAGCCCCATGGTGCCCCCCAGTGACCCCTTCATGCCATCCACTCACTCACCCCCTCACCAAAACACGACATAATCACGTTACAAAACACTGCGGCTGGCGCTTTCAGCTTTGCCCTATTTATTTGTCCTCAAATTCGCAAGAATTCCTTTTCCTTCTCCTTTGCAGCCTCAGCTCTGTCGGTCACTCACTCGTACTTGAAGCTGTTTTACAGACTCACAGTCTTCACGCTCCGTCTTCTCTGCAATGCACTTTGACTTTCTTTTTTTTTTTTTACTTCCTTGTTTTTGAATCGCCTCCCTGTTCCACCCTGACTTTTCACTGAGCTCCCGTTTCTGAAATTGCTCATGTCCTCTGTTCTTTCCTGCATTAACTTTCCACCCTCCACTCTGCTGGCAGTTCAGTCTGTGACAGTTATGTAATGTAAAATTGACAACTGGATATTTGCCGTTGATGGTTGAATTGTATTTTTATGGTTTTGAAGTTTTACGTTTTTGTCTGTAGTTTTTTGTTTGTTTGATGTTTTGTTTCTCTCTTCTGTTTGTGCTCTTTGAAGCCCGTCTGCCTGCGCCTTTGTCTCGACCTTTCTTTCCACTCACTGAACATCAGTGCAGCTCTTCTGTTTAAGCCTGAAAACCCAATGTGACTGACTGTTTTTCTGTCTGGTCTTACCTGAAGAGAAAAGCATAAATAAAGATAATCCAGCCTGGTCACCTGGTGTCTGGAGAAGACCCAATATTAGGCAGCTGCATTGATGATGGAACAAACTAACCAAAGCAAAATACACTAATAGAAAAATTCACCTTGTATGACGATAAGAAGCATTGTCCGACCTGCTTAAGACTGGAAGCACATCTGCAGGGTCCTTGTCCGGCTCAGTTGAGTGGTTTTGCTCTGTGCCTTGGCCCCTCCAGTCTCCTAGAACTCCATACATCTCTTGAAAACGTCTACTTAATTGTCTCCCTTTAACGTTAGAAGTTTTGAAATCTAGTGCAAATACACGAGGATATGAGTGTTCAGCAGATGGTCATTGAGTCATCTTCAACTCCTTGGTTTGTTTTGGTTCTGTTAATGTTATTCTAATAACTGCATATTTCTGAAATGTTCTTGCTTTTGTGTCACCAATTGAGTCAGGTTGTGGTCAATTGAACCATGTAGTAAAACTATCTAACGGCCAGTAAATCTGGCTTTCTCTAAGTCACCATTGGGCAAATTGGCATCTACATTGAGGTAGCATCCACTCTTTCATCGGTTCCTGTGAACTATTGTGCCACTTGAACATTTGTATCACAGTAGTTCCACCCAAGATGGCTAACGTACATCTGGCATGTAGTTCTGAGGTTTATTTGCCCTTTAAGGAACTGCCTTGCCTCTTTTTGTGCAATATGTCACGAGAATCATGAAAGGTTCTATTTTAAGAACGATTGGACCTTCTGTAACAAACACTTTTCATTTTTGGATGAATTAATTAGCATCCCTTATGTCGGAGCTCCTTTTCCCTGCTATCGTCTTAGCAACATACACTAGTGAGGCCCTTTTCACATTTGTCTGCTATTGTAGATAACTTTGATAATGTCTGTGACCAGAAGGTCAGCCATTCCACCAGGTATTAGTCCTGTAGTACAATCTAAACAGAGGGGATCTGTTGCTTTGATTGGAAAAGATGATCATGTGTTTCTGAAAACTACTAGCCATGATTCCTAGAAAAAACCTGCCTCGTCATGCGTAATGATCATTTTGTGCATAATATTAGAAGAATTTGTAAATTGCATGATTAGAAGTGTACACAAACTGGTCATTCCATACTGCCCCTTTTCCTTATTTTTTCTCTTCTCTTTTTTTATGGTGTTTACTTGACCTTTCTCTATTTTTGATGGTATTGTTTTTATCCGTTCTAGGTTCAGACATTAAAAGAAGTGATATCACTGAATGTTTTAAATTATTAAACACAGGGGAGTGAAGGGGCTTTAGTATTACAACACCATGAGTGTGGGGCTCAGAAGAATATTTGACAGGAGCAGTTCACATGAAGCCATGAACTGAGAAGAAGCAACCCACCATCTTAGTTCTCTTTACATTTGGGTCATCAACTTTGGCTTGTGACATTGAAATATTCTCTGAAAATTGCATATTTTAATGGGCATGTCTTATTTTTCCATATTCAGGTATCAAGCTTGCAGTGTACATTGTCATGATGTCAAGGGGGCAACATAAATTATCTGCTCCCTGTAAAGGAAGTCCACCCAAATTAGAAATAAAGGCTGTGGGAAGCTTCTGTTGTCTTTTGCGTGTGTGGGGATGTGTATGTGTGTGAGTGTGTTTGTTCCAAATATAATAAAAATTTATGCCAAAATGTTTGACGTATTTTTTTTTTTTTTAACTTTGACAGGGGCGTTCAGGCTGTCAAAGATGAACTACAATTCCCTTTAGGCGTCCCTTTGAAGTGCAAGCAAGCGAGACCTCAGCTGGTTGACAGCGACCAGCAGAAGTAAAAGTTCAGCCGACGAAGCTTTCAGGGCTGTTTTAATCATTTCCTGTATAACGTGTTTCTTTAAAGGTAAATCTCGCTTGGTCAGTCTCTACACACCCAAACTGAAAGCTAGCTTTTGAAGCATTTTTGTCAGGCTAACTGTTGTTAGCTATGTTACCTGTTTAGACTTTCAAAGTAAAATCAACTTGTTTGGTGCTCGATGATACGAGCTTTTAAAAGTTACTTTCTTTTTTTTTTAACCATAGTGGGTTTTCTGCTTCAAGTTGGTTTATTAGAAATCATTATGGGTCCAATAGGTGCAAACTACATAAATTATCACACAAGGCCATATGGCTTGCTTCAAATTGGTTTATTAGAAATCATTATGGGTCCAATAGGTGCAAACTACATAAATTATCACACAAGGCCATATGGCTTGGAAAAGATTGTTTTTAATGAGACAAAAGAAACATGGCTGCTTTCACTACACTTCAAAATAATACATTTTCATCAGGGCAAGTTGAGATTTGACATTAAAAAAAATTTAACAAATCTTACAACTGTAAACATCTCAAACATAAGAGTGACTAAACCTGTGTAAATTGTATAAATTGTTTTGATATTACTCTCGAATCAAAATGGTAAAAGTATTGTACAAGAAATTGTTGCCCCCCAAAAATATTTTTTTATTTTGAAATAAGTAACCGGAAGTTAGGCAAGTATCCTCGCTAAGAGATAGCTCGAAGCAGGTTTAAATTGTACAGACAGAGCTCTCTTGGATATTCACAACTAGAGGAAGAAGGCGCACCAGCTGTGACTAAATAAAGCCGAGTCGTCGCGATTTTAGATCCTGTTTTGAATATTTACCAGCAGAAACCAACGTTCAGGCGTTCCATTGCGCGAGGGGCTTCATTATTCCGCGGGTAGCTATTGTTTTTACCGACCCAGCTTTGTCCTTCGCAGTCACAATTGTGGTGGGTTGCTGATATATTAATACTAATCGTAGTGGAATATGGCTCAGCATGGACATCACGTAGCCAGTTCACAAAAAGCACTAATGCTCGAAATGAAAAGTCTCCAAGATGAGCCAGTCGAAGGATTCAAGATAACTTTAGTGGACGAGTCGGACATGTACAACTGGGAAGTAGCGATTTTCGGACCCCCGAACACGCACTACGAGGGTGGTTATTTTAAGGTGAGTAGCTAATGTTAGCTAGCAGTATATCTATTGTTCTTTTGTGGATTAATTTAGCCTATATTTAACACATGAAGGTCAGCATAGTAGATAAAATCTGTTCATGATTTAATGAGTAAATAAAAGTTTTGCTTACGCTGGGGTTGTTTTCTGTTGAACGTTGCTGTGGTAAACACAGCTCTTTGTGTAACTTTAAATCAACTCAGTCAGAATGACTTTTAGTGGTGATGCTTCATTACACGGAAGCTTTAGACCGGTTGTTACAGAATACATTTATTGTCCAGTCAGTACGTGATAACATTGTTATCATACCTTCATGTTGCTCTGAAACAAAAGGCTGATTGACATTGTGAGTGGGAAGCTCATCAGATGGCTCATTAATTCATCATATTCTTTGTGCTCATCATCACAATCATGGTTGCATTGCTTTGAAATGTAGCCAGTTACTTAATTTAGGTTACATAGCTGATTTATTAAAAAGAAACATAATCTGTTGGATTATAAAATTCATTTATTTCCACATTTTGTGTTTTAAACAATTCATAACATTATGAAACTTATATTCACCATTTATAGTTGTCTTGAATCAAATAACCCCCACACCTTGAAACAACATCATAAACTACAGATTAACTTTAATAAACAGTGAACCATAATAAACAACCAAGCTCCATTAACAAAAGCACGTGGACAGTGTGTAAAATTTATGGTATTATTTAAAAAAATAGTTTTACAAAGAGCATCTCTTGGAGTTTTAGTTTCAGTTCAATTTTGAAATCTCTAATCCTGAAAAGTAAAACTACATTGTTTTTCCTGTCCAGTGGAGGCAGATGACATTTACCTTTTTGACCCTTGTAATCTGAATTACTCTAAAGTTCATCAGCTAGCTGACTGATTCAATCATTTCTTTTGTGTGGATCATTTGTAAATCAACAGCAGTGGTACAGAACAGTCTGTTGGGTTTTATATTCTGATTAACTCCTGGAAACCAGTCTCTAATGCATGGTAATGCTGCTCTTCAAACACAGATGGCCCCTCTCCTCCAGCATGCCTCGTCGACTTCCTGGTAACTCATGAGCTTGTTTTCTGACTAACTTCCTCCCATGAGAGTGAAGATGTGTTTAATTCAGACTTGATGTTTCCCTTTTGAGGATTAATTTATACATATTCTTATGCTTGCTTTACAAATTTTTAATCCAAAAGAACATTTAATCCAATTCAAATTGTACATTTACACACCGTTTTTACCTGTTTTTGACCTAAGGCCACTGGAATTAGCTCACCTTAGTAGAACGTACACATCTACATTTTAAGATCTACAGGTGTGTCACCATAGCAGGCATGCTGTTGATTTATGTTAAACTCAAAGAATAACGAGAGCGTAAACTGAAAATTATTGAACGTAGCGAACATTGTTTAAATTTCTTTACTAAGTGGTTAGTTTTTTTGTACACAGACAACCTTGGGGGTTGTAGTAGAAACTTGACTTTCATGGATATTTGTTTTATATCAAACAAGCCTTTATTAAAATGACATAATAGTCTAGTCAGAATGAAACAAAATAGCTCAGGGCATCAGAAGAGTTAGTTTGTAGCAACAGTGAAAACAATGAATTTCTACATTTTCTTATTAGCTTGTTATCATATTTGCGGCTTGCTAAGCCACGTTTGTTTGGATTATCCCACTTTGGTGTGATGGATCTGTTCTGAGGGGAAAAAAGAAAAGCAGCTGCAGTTATGCTAGCTTCCAGTTTTTGAGGAACTTCATCTTGTCATCTCTGGTCTTCTTTTTTTCATATTTGTGAGCCCGATCCGAGGGCCCCGTCCCGGTGGCTGTAGGTGGTGCTCTGTGTGACAGTGTGGGTGCTGCAGGATTCCTTTGTCGGGGCAGGAATGCACATCCCGGCTGTGAAATCCACCACATGATTGTGATTCATTGTTCTCATTTAGGTTTCCATCCAACCAGTTATTCTAACAACAACAACTGAAGAACGTTTTGACCGAGTTTCTGAAACAAACCAAAGTGACATTACGTGAAACCTGGCAGAGCCAGGCTTTTTTTCTCCTACGTTTTCAGAGTCATGACTGCAAGCACACACACTGGACTGAAACACATTCAAATGTCACTCAGACACGATTAGGTAACTGACCTGGGTATGCAGTGACCCTCTCACCCGCTCATCTGTTCCAGGACTTCTCAGAGTCTTGTTTTCCTTCAACCTCATCATGTGAAGTACTCTTTCAGGCTCAGAGGGCCCGATAGCTGGCAGAGGATCATTTTGTCTCATAGCTGGCTAGGATCTTGGGACATGTAATAAGCAGCTGACTTGGCTACTCTCATAGAACAACCCCCCCCCCCCCCCACTACGAGGGGTTACAGATTGTTTGTTAGTGGATCTCACCAAGTTATGGACATATTTACTTTGTAAAAGTGAGGACAGTCCAGCTTAACGATTTACTCTTGATTTTGATTTGGATCCAGGACTTTATTTTTATGACCTTGCCATAGATTTTCAATCGTTTTCAGACACATAAGTGTGTCACATTTAAACTCTTTATTTATTTATTTTTCGCTGATTTTTAATTCGTAAAGTGTTACAGCAATTTTCTCTCACCAGGATAATCTAAAACCAATTTTGTTAGCCTAGTGCAAGGATAGAGACCCCTGGTCCTGGAGAGCCACTATCTAGTTTTAAAAGTTGCCTTGATTCAACACAGTTGATTCACCAGTTCACCCGGCTCTGCAGAACATTTTAATCACCTGCTGATTAAAATCAGGTGTGTTGAACCAGGGCAACCTCCAAAACGTGCTGGATAGATGCTCTCCAGGACCAGGGTTGCCAACCCCTGGCCTAGTGTCTGGTAAATCTGCTCCAATAAACCTAATATAATTACTGCACCTTTCTCAGAAACATATCTACATTTATAAGCACTACTAATGTGCTAAACTTCCCTATTTGTTATCAAGCAAAGACATGTTTGTGTTTAAAATGTTCTTAAAATGTAGGTATCCATAAAATTAACGCCCAACACTGAAACTTTCTTGGAGTAAGATTTTCAAAATATGTTAATAGATTTTATACAGTATCTTTTTGCTATTGGCACTCATTTAGCAAAATGACAATCAGCACTTCTTATTTAGCTCGATTCTCCACAATTGTCAATTTAGTGTGGTGTTAAAGATGTGGTTCACTGGGAAAAACCCCCAACAAATTTTCAATTAATATTTCTGATTATAATCAGTTTTTCATACAGATTGAACATGAAAATAGTCTCCTACACCTATCTCCTGCATTAGCTTCTGATAGAAAATAGACAGTGAAAGTAGGATTTGACAATCCTGACAGATCTACGTCACGCTGTCTATGAACATTCACATACTCAACCGTCTTGACTCACGATGGGGAAGGCTATAGTTGGTTTAGCATCCAGGAAACGGCAGAGGACGTCTCGGCTAGTAGAAGCTAACCCTTAGCATTCACAACTCCACAACACAGCAGAACTTCTTCAGGCTTGTGTTATTTGTGGAGATAAAATATCAACGTTACAGAGCAAACAGTGTCAGTGGTAGAGTCGTGTTGCTGTTAGCCAATCAGAGGAGAGATGTCCAAATATCTGGAAGTAAGTCTCCAAATGCTGCTGGCTGAAGCTCTCCTCTGATCTGGCAATCTTCTAGATCCTGAAACGGGCACACCAGAACTTTTTGTACCCTGAGTTCAACTTAAAAGGCATTAATTTTACTAGGTCTGGACAATATAGAAAAAAAAAACCTCATCGGTTAAAAAAGTCATATTGATCGATATCAATAATTATTGACAGCTATATGAAAAATGTCAAATATATTTTAAGTGCAGCCCTGGCCATCTTAGGCCATTACTTTATGATAAAACAAGTTGGTTGTGTTACCATACGTGTTTTTTTATTGATTCTCTGTATCAAACCACCTTTGTTTTTTGTCAGACTTATTGCCACACCGGTGAAGTATTGTAACCTTTTTTTGGTACGTTTTCTTCCACTTTTCCTTGCTGCAACATCTTGTTTAAGTCACATTGCTGTCTGTTTAGGTTTGAGAGGGGAGGGCTTGGTGACGGAGCGTGCTTGGGTCTGTATTTTTGATTGGTTGGGTGTAAGTAATGACTCTACAGCATGGGCCATTTATATGGATAGACCTTAATAAAATGGGATTGGTTGGTGATATTAACGTCCGGTTTGTGGCACATTAGTATATGTGAGGGGGCAAACTTTTCAAGATGGGTGTTGACCATGGTGGCTATTTTGAAGTTGGCCATCTTGGATCCAACTTTTGTTTTTTCAATAGGAAGAGGGTCATGTGACACATCAAACTTATTGGGAATTTCACAAGAAAAACAATGGTGTGCTTGGTTTGAACGTAACTTTATTCTTTCATGAGTTATTTACAAGTTTCTGACCACTTTGTGTTCGATTGTCAATGTAATCCTCTTCTCCCACTCTTCACACACTGGTGGCAACACCGCTGTATAAATGCCAGCACAGGTTTCCAGTATCCATAGTTTCAGGTGCTGCACATTAGGGCTGCAACAAACGATTATTTGGATAATCGATGAATCGGATGGGGTCTCGACACGATTAAGCGATTAATCGGATTACGTGGGGAAATTTTTAAAACTGCTAGGGAAACGTTATTTCTCTCCTTCCTTCACTTTATTGAACACAACATTATTAGAAAACAGTTCAATAGCAGAAAAACAACATGCCATCACCTAAATTGTCTTATAAGGTGTATAGACAGAGACCCTAAGCTACATCTATCTGTGACCTAAAATGCTTGGTCCAAGTTAAACAGCTTAAGGGCAATTCTCATCTGTTTTGTTTGATCTCATCTGTAGACATTATAATTGGGGATGTCAAACAACTAATTTTTAAATGTAATTCAACATTGGCTGTGAATTAATCAAAATTGATCACTATTTCCAAAAATGACTGAAAAAATACCAAATAAAACAAAAGTAAATGAATGCC